AGCCTCTCATAGGCTGTAATTTCCGTTTCCTTAGGGTTGAACGTTTCTATATTTCCAATAAACGCCATTCTTCAGAGAAAACGTTCATCTACCTCAAAAGTCCTCAAGATGTAGGTACGAATAATTAATTATAAATGATTCATTCAACGAAAATAATGAAAAACCCCCAAAAAAAAAAAAAACTTAAACTCAGTCAAGACGAATCACAATTTGACAGAAATAATAGTCATTAAAATCTCACCAAAGTCTCGTAAAATTTCCAGTACATACAACACTCTGCATAAGTTCGTTTCTCGTCTACTCGTCGCCAATAATGTAATGTATTTATTAATAACTTTTAACTATAAGAAATGGAGATAATTTATTTAAAAAAATCTAAAATCTGACAATCAACTATGACAACTCTAAACATGAAAGGTAGCAGGTAGCATGAAATTACAGGAGCACTCAAGTACCTAAATAAAGTTCTATGTTAAGCAAACATCTATGTTTGGCCAAACCTTATCAAGATCAATATCTTACAAGACGTAATGCACACCCTAGAAAAGACGTTTTCAGGATTTTGTCTGCTGTCTGGGTGGATGTTCATCAGCAACATGACATAAGGTTGGGTGGATTCTACCTGAGTTGGGAAAGTAGTAGGAGTAGGTATATCTATGTTGTGCTAGCTACTTGTCGATTGAGAACAGCTAGAGAGGCCTCGTGGGAATGTTCTCCGTTGCACTTTGTTATCACTAGGTTGTCACTATCGATACAACCAAAGGTATAAACCAACTCCAACCCACGCTGTGCACTTTGGAGTGCACATTTCCACAATTTTTCACCAGACTTTTTTAGTTCTTTATGAAAATTATACTTATAATTATTTACGACTATAAGCGGTTTTCCGCGTATACTTTAAATCACTTTGAAAGACTCCATGACAAAAATAATTACGACGATGTTCACATTTCAATACTTTTATGAATAATGTGTACCATGCATGCCAGTTAATAACAAATAAATGCCCCAAATGAATAAGGGGTAAAGCAATTAATAAGAATAGGGAACTTGCACATTAAATTAAATATGGCATGACATGACATCGGTCGTTTCAAATGGCGATGTTTCTAGCGTAACTTCAAATATTTATAAAAAATTAACGGCTGATTTTTAATGCTTGATATTTGGCATGACTATTAGTTAGGGAGACGACCGCATTTTTCCTACCCCGATCGAGTTATGTGTCGACACTATTATCAATACCTATATAGTATTATGTGCATCTATTAACCAGTATTCCTGCCTGAGAGCAAATGCTGCCGGAAATATCTTTTAACAAATTATTAACAAATTGAAAAAAACGTAACACTACCCCCATCGAGTTATGCCCTAAGTAGGGTATCAGATTGAAGGTCTCGATGTCCCCTATCTAAAAAGTCGATCCTGCCTCGTGAAAACTTGCCGGAAAAGGGTGGCAGGGCAGCTTATTGGGGCAAGGGCCCGCGGTCTCAGCTTTGACACCTATCAAGTTTTACCCTGAATGATGTGTCAAATTAAAGGTGTTAATAAGTTGATTTAAGGTCTCTTCGCACAGAAATCCCAAACCAGAAGGAGTGAATTTCATTGGTTGAAACTAGTTTCCTGACTGTTTCCAACCAATGAAATTCGCTCTGACTGGTTTGTGATTTCTGTGCGAACAGACCTTAAATCAACTTATTGACACCTTTAATTTGACACATCATTTAGTGCAAAGCTTGATAGGTGTCAAAGCAGAGACCGCGAGCCCTTGCTCCAATAAGCTGTCCTGCCACCGTTTTCCGGCAAGTTCTCGCGAGGCAGGATCGACTTTTTGGATAGGGGACATCGAGACCTTCAATCTGATACCCTACTTAGGGCATAACTCGATGGGGGTAGTGTTACGTTTTTTTCAATTTGTTAATAATTTGTTAATATCTTTAGTGTAGTAGAACACATTTTTGAAATTAAAAAAAAAAATGTGCAAGTTCCCTATTCCCTCAAATATCAAATATCTACCTGATTATGTTTACTGACCAAATTTCCTATTTTTCGGATTTGCAAAATTTAAATATTCAAATTAATTACCTGCTGGTGACCAAATTGCCTATGCCCTACAGTACAGTGTATTCTGAATGTCTTCATCAGATTCTTCTTGTAGAATAGTAGGTACTAGTGGTTTAAATGTCTTCATCTGTTACTTCCTGTATGGTCGAGTGAATATTATTTATTGGTATTTTGGACGGCTCCATCTATATCCTCTTCCAAAAGAACTGCAGGATCATTAAAAGTGTTTTTGGGGTACTTGTGTGATTGCAATATGGTCAACGTGTCTACGCCATATACGACCATCATCCAGCTACTTTATTAAATAATATAATAGCCCCTTTCTTTCTGCAATGTGACCATATTCCAATTTTGTATTTTTCTCCAAAAAATTACGAACTCCCTCTAAATTTCCTAAAATTTTCTTCTCCAACTGTCGATTTCAAATTTTCTTTTCCTTGTAAAGTATGTTTAATGAGATCAAGTTTCGTTCGGGTATTCATTGTAATTCATTAATTTTAGGCAAGGTGGAACATTTGTAGTTGAATTAGGACTTCTTCTACCTATATCGCATTAAAAAAATCTGTAATTCGTGGTCCAAATCTCCTGGTTCTTCAATTACTTTTTGTGTGAGCTTCGTGAAGTGAGAGTACCTACTATTTTTCTCAAACAACTTGGAATAACTACGTACGGTTCTCATGATAACACCTTCATTCAATGAAAACTCGGCATCTTTACCTTTAAATCCATGTTCAGTAATATTTCCTCCAATCTGCATACATTTATATATTTTGGACAGAACTACATCGTTTCACGTTTCATGTAGGTACAATTGTTAAAGGTAGTTTTAGAATCTGTTGAAGTTAACATGACACTGGATCATAAACTGGTATATCTGGTTCTTTTATTCGATTGATTTTCCATTTGAGGTAATCTTGGAAGAGCATCTGGTCGCCATTATCGAAGGTAACTTCTTTTCAGGGTGAAATATCGAACTTAGCGGTTTGTGGTCAGTAATCAGTTTAAAATGTCTTCCGTATAGGTATTTGGAACATTTATTTAAACTCCAGTATACAGGGTGATTGATGGTCCGATGGTAGGTTAGACGTTTATAGAAAACGGAATGTTGGATATTTTTGAAAATTTGCATGCCCAAGTAATTGCTCCTGATCTATCATTCTAAAATAATTTCAACGATGCGACGTTGCCGCTTACACCAAAAAGTAATATGAACTTTGAAATTTTAAATGAGACACCCTGTATATTATTGCATTTTTTGCTCCGCTATTACTTTCTGATCATTTTTGTATAATACTGTCCTATACTTATCTCTAGTGATTTTCGACTTATTAATTAATTTCTTTATTTTTTCTTCAAAACATAGCTCTAGTTAAATTTGTATTACTACGTCCATATGAGATTCGTAGAAAGTTTAAATTTTGGAGATAACTTAGGGAGGTTCTGCATATTACTTTTGAGCAAGAAAATTTTTTCTACATTATACAGGGTTGGTCAAAAATGTAATTATGCTGCCAGGTACAAAAAAGATGAAAAGTGCACTTTTTTGAATAGAATACCCTGTATATTATGAAATATCATGAAAGGCAATTAAAATCCCTTACAAATGATGTATTATGTTCCTACACCTAAATAGTAAGGTTTCGGAAATACAGGCAAGTTTCTGTTAGAATTGGATTATTTTGGGATATTTGTCTAATGGCGTTTCCAGTATATTTTCATCTCTTTCTTTCAGCCTGTTGTAGAAACAGATAGAAATACTTTTTCTTTACACTTATTCTACCAACCCGAATCGTCATTAAATAGCTATGTCACGATGAAACATATTAGGTAATTCAAACGATACAAACCACATGATTGTTCGGACACAATAGTTATTTGTATACCAGGGCCGCGAAATGCCTTTTTAGCGTACGTAGAGGCAAGATACTCTCAAGTACGCTAAAAAGTTTCGCGGTCATGGTATACACACTATTTTTTGTGCAATTATAAAAATTATGTAAAATTACAGAAATGAATTTGACAAGGATTTGACCCATTTTGCACGTCAAGTGTGGCGGCCGCGAAATTGAATTTTGCGGACGGTTGCACAAAAAATAACTTTATACAATTTGGTTCAAAACTTAAGAATGAACCAAGCTTACCCAAGCCTGTAACGTCTGATGAAGAAACATCGTGAATGTCTCAGCCTACTTTCACGCATATCCCCAAGCTTCCATCCGAAGTGCAGTAGGTGATTTAGGCCTGAGCAGATAAAAAAAGACCGCTATAAATGTGCAGAAAATTTTTAACGATCATAATATGCATCCCTTCAAATTCACAAAAGTTCAACAGCTGGAACCGGATGATTACCAACGTCAAATTCGATATTAAGAGACACTTCTGACACACACTTATGAGTATCTGAACTGTCTAAAAAAAATTAATATGGACCAATGAAGCTAAATTTTCTAGAGAAGGTATTTTTGATAGGAGAAATCAACACTTTTGCGCTAATCAAAATCCATATGCGGTCAAGGAAAAAAGATCCCAAACCCCCAGTTGCAACAAAATAGGTTGTGACAGTATTTTTTCTACTATTTCACGTAAAGTACTCACTATGCACTATTGCGAAGACGTTAAATTTTACTTCACACGCTAGTGCGTAAAGTAATGTCGACACTGTAAATTTAGTATTTTTCTTTTTCTGGTAAATTACTTCACGCACTCTAAAAATTTAAAAATTATAGAAAACACGCAATCGTGAAAAATTATCGGTAATTTTGAAGCTCTCGTGGTATTATCCCCGAAAGTATTTATACCTGGTAATTTATAATAAAACTGAAAATAAATACATTTTCAAGAATATATTAAAAAGGGAAAATTTAAAATGATACTTAGTAAAAGCTGGATAAGGTGATGTTCACATTATCAAATTTTTACTGTAATCTTGGTGAAACACAATAAAACTCTATAAAACAAACTTAACTAATTAAAATCAGGTGATTACATTTTACTTATACATAATATTGATGTATTTTTAATTATTAGCTTGTCCACTAACTAATGAGAGATAAAATACTAAAAATTACAACTATTAAAAAAAAATAAAACTCAAAATAAATAAAAAGATTTAGGTTAAAAATTGGATAAGAGCAAGTTTTTTTTTTTACTCAGAAGCATTATGACGTTGCCTATCCTCCATTAAAGATTGGATTTTCCTATTGGAAATCCTTTTAGCGCTTGGCATAGTACCATTATCATTAATCAGACGTTTTCCTTGAATCATATTATTTATTGCACTGTTTATATTCATTAAATCCTAAAAAACAAAAATTAAATTTGATTCAATTTTTCAAATTAGGCTTACTTTTGAGGGACTGCGACTGAAATAGTAATTAAACGTAGATCCAGGTGGAGTACTTGAAGTTTCCAAAGGTTTAACGAAAACATTGCCAACCACCCTCAAGTTTGAGGACATTAACTTTTTCTGGCTAGCAGGAAGGGGGCTAAGTGGGACATTATTCTACAAAAAAAAATACAACATATAAATAATGTAGGTAAAATAATAAGACAAAAACTAACATTGGGATTTGTGTTTGGTTGAAACCTAATGGCATAAGTTTGCATTTCTTTGACGTAAACCAAATTATAAAATTGTATCAAGTCACCCCTTTCTTCATCTATAAAATCTCCATCATCTAAAACACATTAATTAATATGTTACAGTTTCAAGTTTTCAAAAAAAATAATCACCATTTGTCTTTTTTCTTTCAATCAAAACATCTCTGTAAACAAGACTGGACGATTGCGGCTGTTGCCTGTAAAACTTCATAATGATTGCAAATAAATTCGGCATATTTGTAATTTTGGCCGCTTTGCATATGACGTATATTGCACACATTAGTAACTGATCCAAATGGCGGTCTTTGATGAGATCGGTGTGTCGAATCGAGTCTTCGAAAATCGTCCAGATTTTGCGGCGAAGCTCGAAATCTTCGAAACCTAAATGGGAACAGAGGTGTTGCATCCTAACACCTGCCAGATTATAGAACTAAAAAAAAAGAATCATGAATTTAAGCATTGAATTAAAATAAATAATTTACTTTTCTAAAAATTATTGACACACTTCCTGTTCGTCTTGGTAAAGCTGCAGCTTGTGGATCAGGCCTTGCTCCAGGACTACTTTGTTGATTCTCAATGGATGGTTTTTGAACTATGGGAATCAGTTTCATTTTACCGTCCTTATCTGGCAAAACTAAACGAATAATTTAGAAAAAAAAAATACAAACCCAAAAAAAACATACTTAAATGACTTTGTAAATTCCCAGCTGAAGGAAACAATAGAGGTTTGCAAATTTGTGACAAAGGGGATTGAAAGCAATCTGTAGCTGATTGAGGCCCTGGTGATTGTAATACTAAAACAATTAATTAGTAATAATTTTAACAAAACTAAAAATAATTCTTACAATGTTCATTAGACATATCATTATACAATAAATGACCAGGCAAAGCAGTGTCCTGAAATTTAGGTATCCCTTGTCCAGATTTTTCAATAGCATCCCAAATTGGGCTGTTAGATTTCCACATTAACGATTCAATTACAGTTTCTTCAATCTAAAATAATTTTGTTTGCAAATCAAGTAAATACATATAATTAAAAATCTTTTATTAGATTAGGAATTTCCACTAAGTAGAAGCCACAAGGATGATTAATGAAACTTGCCCTATTCAAATGCTTGATCAGCTCTCTGAACAAATTATCTTTGGTACGAACGATTAGTTCAATAACTTTGACAAAATGTATGGGTGGTACAGCTAAAACATCTAAAATCCATGGAAATTTCCTGGGAAAATTGTGGCAGTAGAGGACAATTTCCAGACAACAAGCAAACATGCACTGGTAGAATATTTCTTTTTCAACTAAAGCCTACAAGAACAATTATTATTCGTTGTGTCAGTATACTTATACAATAAAAATTCTTACTGAAATATTTGCAGTGATCTCTTTTTCCTTTGCCAAAATCAGTTCTACGTATTTGTAAAAGAGCATGAAGCCTAAATCTGATCTATTTTGAGCTTCTTCAATCGAATATCCTGTTGATGTGTAGGTTTCAATGAATTTTTCTTTCATGGTGGAGAGGTTTTCTTGGATTTTTGTTAAGGGATTCCTTTGGCAAGATCTGAATAATATTAGTCACAGTTTACATTATAATAAATATACAAATGCAGGGTTGGCAAAAACCCAGGTTTTTGAAAATTTCTATTGGGATTTTGGGGGTTATTGTGATAGTTTTGAAATTTTATCATTTTAGTACTAAGGTAATCTTATGATTTGGATTTTTGAAAATTTTGAAGACCCATAACTTTTTTTTAATTATAGATAGAAAGCTGAAATTTTCAGCGATTTTCATCCCAATGCAGGACTACAATCCCTGGAAATTTCAGCTCAATAGAATCGCGTTAAGCAATTTGGGGTATATCAATCAATTTTTCAATTCACTGAAGTCCTTTTTGCATAAATTTTGGATTCCAATCTCAGAAAAATTTAGAGTATGAAGTTTAGGGAGTCTGGGAGTCCCAACTGATCATATAAACGCAAAATCTTGACATAAAAAATTGAAATTTCATCATTTTAGTACTAAGGTATTTAGCTACCTTATAATTTGAATTTTTGAACACTCTGAAGACCCATAACTTTTTTTCTATTATAGATAGAAAACTGAAATTTTTAGTGATTCTTATCTCAGTAGAGGACTACAATCCATGAAAATTTCAGCTCATTTGGACTCATAGTTCCTGAGATAAAATCGTGTTAAGCAATTTGGGGTGATTTTTCAATTTTTCAAATTTTCTGAGTGCCTTTTTTCATAGAATCTGGCTTCAAATCTGAGAATAATTTAGTGTATGGAGTTTGGGGGATGCCAAAGGACCAGTGGAACACAAAATCTCGACAAAAAATTTTTTGAAATTTCATCGTTTTAGTAAAAAGGTAGCTACCTTATGATTTAGATTTTGGAAAACTTTGAAAGGTCATAACTTTTTTTCTATTATACATAGAAAGCTTAAATTTTTAGCAATTCTTATCCCAATACAGGACTACAATCCCTGAAAATTTCAGCTCATTTGGACTCATAGTTCCTGAGATAAAATCGTGTTAAGCAATTTGGGGTGATTTTTCAATTTTTCAAGTTTTCTGAGTGCCTTTTTCATAGAATCTGGCTTCAAATCTGAGAATAATTTAGTGTATGGAGTTTGGGGGATGCCAAAGGACAATTGGGACACAAAATCTCGACAATTTTTTTTTTGAAATTTCATCGTTTTAGTGAGAAGGTGATTATGATTATGATTTCGATTTTGGAAAATTATGAAAGGTCATAACTTTTTTTCTATTATACATAGAAAGCTGATTTTTTCAGCGATTCTTATCCCAGTAGAGCACTACAATCCCTGAAAATTTCAGCTCATTGGAACTCATAGTTCCTGAGATTAAATCGTATTAAGCAATTTGGGGTGATTTTTCAATTTTTCAAGTTTTCTGAGTGCCTTTTTTCATAGAATCTGGCTCCAAATCTGAGAATAATTTAGTGTATGAAGTTTGGGGGATGCCAAAGGACCATTGGGACACAAAATCTCAACAAAAAAATTTTTGAAATTTTATCGTTTTAGTAAGAAGATTTACCTTATGATTTAGATTTTGGAAAACTTTGAAAGGTCATAACTTTTTTTCTATTATACATAGAAAGCTGAAATTTTCAGCGATTCTTATCTGAGTAGGGCACTATAATCACTGAAAATTTCAGCTCATTTGGACTCATAGTTCACGAGATAAAATGGTGTTAAGCAATTTGTAGTCAGAGAACGAGGCACCTGTACGATGCGTTTTAAGGGCCCTCTATTAGACATCCCGAACAACCACCTAAAAAAAATGTTTTCTTATGTAAATTGACCTGGCGTATCCGATTTTGGAGTTCGCCAGTCGATCTGGAATTGCGAAACTGGTCAAAACCGGCATTTTCCAAAAAATAATCAATTTTATGGATTTTTCTAAATTTTTATTCAACACGCTGTATCTCCCTTAGTTTTAGTCCGATTAAATTGAAATTTTTGGGAGAGCCAATTTAGACCTTTGTTATCATGACTGACATAACAGAAACGCAGAAAAAAAATTGCGAGTCACCATAATATATTTTTTTTAAGTTAGTGACACGAAAATTGCTAAAATTGCAGCAAGAAACACTCGATCGAGAAAACTTTTTTGTTTTTGAAGATAGATGTATATAGTAAGCGACAAAGTGGTAGCCAAAGAACCAAAGAAGTTTTTTTATTCTTGTGATTTTTTTGATAACTTACTTAGTTTCCAAGAAAACGTTACTGTAATATAATACTTAAACCGCCGTGTCGCGTCACAAGAAAAATGTTTGACTTGTACCATTATGTTTCTCGCCTTTCAGAATGCCCTGCCGCCCGCCGCCCTAATAAATATCTAATATATGCATAAAAATTATTGGCATTTTTTGATACAATAATATTGATTTACAGAACGTTTAGTTTGTGTTTTTTACAAAAAGTTAATCCCTTCCAGCATGATAGCACAGAATTAGTGAATACTTTTTCTGGTTATACAAGCGAGTCGAATAATGCATATAAAGCGGAAGAGATAGGACTAAATGCATTATTGGAGGCTCATGAGAAGAACAGTGAGAAAATTGGCGCCGTAAACCTTAAGTTTTTCACTGAGAAAGAAAAAGTAAAAGGTAGAAAGGTTATAGTTAATGCTTTGTATGAAAGCGAAGCAAAAATGTAGCGAAATTTACATTTTATGAGAGTGCTGGATGAAGAAACAAAAATTAGGGTATTTTCTCATGAATGGACGGAATATCCACCATCTCTTTTTGATGTTAGTTCGGAAAGAAATTTTGTGATGAGGAAAGGCAATAAAGCGGAGTTTTATAACGCTGTTTTGAAAGAAATAACTGATATATCTGCTGAAGAGGCGTGTCTTCCAGCAAATTCCAATGAAATTATCGAAACCGTATTTGTTATTGACATGATGGCACTGGTTCAACGATTTAAAAATTATAATTGCAATACCTTCAATGATTTGTTTCTAAAATATTTCAACCTGATTTTAAATTTAAAACCTGAAAATTCACATTTTATTGTGTGCGTCGGAGATCTTTACGATTTTGAGAACAGTTTAAAGACTTCAGAAAGAAATAGAAGAACAAAGAACAATCCACCTGTAAATTATGAAGTTCAAGATGAGTTCAAAATACCACATTGGAGAAAGTTTATTGCTAACCCTAACAATAAGAAAAAGCTGCTAGAATATTTTGTCAAGAAATATGTTAATGATCATCATAAGTTACCAGAAGGTGTGAACGTATTATTAGCTGGCATGGCAGAAGAAAACAGCAAAACTTTAATGTGCTCAAAATTTGATACCAATGTGGTCACGGAATTACTATTTACGGAGCATGAGGAAGCCGATACTAGAATATTTTCTATTATTGATTATTTCAAAAACAGGTTTAAACGATTTTTAATCTATGCTACAGATACGGACAATTTTGTATTATCAATGTACTTCTCTTCTCATTATACTGACATAGAAATATGGATGCAAAATAATAATAAGTTTGTACCATATGTCATTTGATAATTCAGTCACTAGCAAATACCTATCAGAAGGATGCTAAAAACTTATCTGGGATTTTATTAGCAGTATATTGCTTAAGTGGGTGTGATTCGGTGAGTTTCCCTTTCCGAAAGGGCAAAAGAAAAGCTCTAAAAATTGCACTTTCTAACGAAACTTGCTTAGACCTGATTCACTTCGGATCTTCGAGTATTGATGAGTACCAAATATCGGAAGCTTTATGGACAAGTTGCAGAACGTTTTTTAAAAATCTGTATGGCCGAACAAATTTTATGGGAAATATGGACGAATTACGAGCGCATATATTTCCAAAATGCAAAACTGACATTAGGTGAGTAATATGCATTTCTATGTTTGTCTTTATAATTCTATTTTTAAAACTATCCAAATATTTTAACTTTAAAACCTCTTGATCATTGAAGAATATCATTAACTATCATGTGTTGGTATTTAATTCTAGAGCCTTGCCTCCAACAGAAGATGCATTTTCACTGCATGTGAAAAGCGCGTTTTCGCATTGCGCGATCTATAAAAGCGCTAGTTCCAAATCCTACAGCTTTTGGCTACTACATTGAAAACAATGTTCTTATACCAAGGATGACACTGAACGAAGCAAAACCAAGCTTCTTAGAGATTCCTAAATATTGTTACTTAATTAGAGTAGGAGTTGAATAAGGAACAAAGATGAGTATGATAAAAAACACTGGACATAAATAACAACATGAATGATACTTTAAATCGAATCTATTTAAGCCACTGCCGTGCCGTTGTCAATTGCCTCTATCAAAATTTAAAACTTTATTTTACATATTTCTTTTTTTCCAAAATTAAAATTTACCAAATGAACTTTGGAATAAACCCCCGATTATTATTGAATAGGTTATTATTATTGCAATATAAATCCCTGCCCTCTGAAACTACAGCGACCGATTGTGCAGTAGTGCCGCGGTCGCGGTGCCGGGATAGTTTTTCTATATTGGGGATCCGTTTTCTTGAAAACTAAGTAAGTTATCAAAAAAATCACAAGAATAAAAACTTCTTTGGTTCTTTGGCTACAACTTTGTCGCTTATAATACCTATACATCTATCTTCAAAAACAAAAAAGTTTTCTCGATCGAGTGTTTCTTGCTGAAATTTTAACAATTTTCGCAGTGTTGCCAATCTGATTTTGTAAAATTACACGATATGCTGGTCAAATTACACGTTTTTACACGCTTTCAGTCTCAGAATTACACGATTTTTACACACGTCTTTGGTACCTATTTTGCAAAATCAAGAAACAAGTATAATTATTTTTTTTTGTGAATAATGATTTTGGGAAATGGGTCAAATCTAATCAAATCTGAGGGTTTAATGTTCCTGATCATAGCTTATAGCTTCTTAACCAAAAATCAAGATGTGGCAACGACAGAAACGCAATCCGAAAGTAATCAAATTACTAATTACTTTACTTTGGTTTCTGGAGAACTGGATACTTTTGGACCTCAGTTTCCTGCAAGGATAATACACACTACTACTACAGGATAGCATATCCTTATAAGGCCTGTGTAGTTTAAATCTCAAGCCCCTACCATGGCAAAACACCAGTGATGACGTAGGCATCGTGTCGTTTCTCGTCTTGACGAGGTTTCCAAGGTTTTCTGGTAATGGGTAACTTGATGACGAATCTGGGGTGCCTTATGGACATTTGCATTATGTTAGGGCACCCCAGATAATGTCATAGAGTTATCCAGGCAACCCATATCCAAAAACGAGGCCGATAAGCAATCCTAAGTAGTGTGTATTGATCTTGAGTTTCCTGAAATCTTGAGCCATTTTCTCGCGTCCACTTTTTTGACATTGGTTCAAACCTGTTTTGCGAAAAGTGTATGCGAGAAAACGGCTTTGATTTTAAGCCTAGCCATTAGGGTAGTCACTTGACAGACCATTTTACAAACAACAAAGGGGAATGCAACGAGCAATTAGAAGAGGAAACGTCAAGTCCTATCTATGTCACAATGGGGCGGTGGCTTTAGATTTGAAAGCCGTGAAACAGAACAAAAAAAAAAGAAAATGTCAAAATTTTCAAATTACACGCAAAATACATGCTTTTTGTTTATGTTCGAAAAATACACGCAAGCCAATCAAAATACACGCAAATCGAGTAATTACACGCTAATTGGCAACACTGAATTTTCGTGTCACTAACTTAAAAATAGTTATTTATGATATAAGTGTTAAAAGTACATTTTTAAGGCACGCATGTGAAAGTTTGCAGAATGAGCGAAGCGAATTCTGCAATTCACATAAGTGCCTTAAAAATACTTTTAACACAAATATCATACAATATTTTTTCTACAAACGGCAATAAAAAGCAATAACCACTAACAAATAGGATTTTTAAATGAATAATAAATTGGAAGCATCTTTCCTACATAAAATTCTTGAATTTGACATTTGTCAAAAAATCCATACAACCAGCACCTTGTTTTACAGGTAACGAAATGTCTTGTCAGTTTCTTGAAAGTATGTCGTGGTCAGGAATGCTTTTTGCTAAAAATGCAACAAAATACAGAAGAAAAAGAGAGTTGCATCGATCCTTCGAAAAATATAGATGAGGCGGCCAATCGGGCTACCTCAGTTGTTCAAATTTCACCATTATTATCAATGTAAATAACTGAAAATACAAACTTTTTTTGACGTCCGCTCTCAAAATTTGATGTTTCACTTTTAACACTAGTGCTATAAAGACTTTATGGCACTAGTGCGATAAAGTAACATTTTTAATGCTTCGGGGCGGTGTTAAAAATTGCATTTTTAACACGTTTGTAGAAAATAGTTATTTATGATATAAGTGTTAAAAGTACATTTTTAAGGCACGCATGTGAAAGTTTGCAGAATGAGCGAAGCGAATTCTGCAATTCACATAAGTGCCTTAAAAATACTTTTAACACAAATATCATACAATATTTTTTCTACAAACGGCAATAACAAGCAATAACCAGTGACAAATTGAATTTTTAAATGAATAATAAATTGGAAGCATCTTTCCTACGTAAAATTATTGAATTTGATATTTGTCAAAAAATTCAAACAACCAGCACCTTGTTTTACAGGTAATGAAATGTCTCGTCAGTTTCTTGAAAGTCTGTCGTATGGTCTATCGTGGTCAGTAAGCTTTTTGCTAAAAATGCAACAAAATACACAAGAAAAAGAGGGTTGCATCAATCCCTTGAAAAATATAGTGGAGGCGGCCGATGGAGCTTCCTCAGATGTTCAAATTTTACCATTAATATTAATGTAAATAATTAAAAATACAAACTTTTTTTGACGTTTGCTTTCAAATTTTGATGTTTCATTTTTAACACTAGTGCCTTAAAGACTTTTAACACTAGTGCAATAAAGTAACATTTTTAATGCTTCGAGGGGGTGTTAAAAATTGCATTTTTAACACGTTTGTAGAAAAAAATATATTATGGTGACTCGTATTTTTTTTTTCTGAGTTTCTGTTATGTCAGTCATGATAACAAAGGTCTAAATTGGCTCTCCCAAAAATTTCAATTTAATCGGACTAAAACTAAGGGAGATACAGCAGCAGTGTTGAATAAAAATTTAGAAAAATCCATAAAAATTGATATTTTTTGGAAAATTCCGGTTTTGACCAGTTTCGCAATTCCAGATCGACTGGCGAACTCCAGAATCGGATCCACCAGGTCAATTTACATAAGAAAATATTTTTTTTAGGTGGTTGTTCGAGATGTCTTATAGAGGTTGCACGTTAGACGTTGCTCGTTCTCCGACTATTGGGGTGATTTTTCCATTTTTCAATTTTCCTGAGTGCTTTTTTCATAGAATCCGGATCCAAATCTGAGAATAATTTAGTGTATGAAGTTTGGGGGATGTCAAAGGACCATTGGAACACAAAATCTCAACAACAAAAAATTTTGAAATTTTATCGTTTTAGTAAGAAGGTAGGATTTAGATTTTGGAAAACTTTGAAAGGTGATAACTTTTTTTCTATTATACATAGATAGCTGAAATTTTCAGCGATTCTTATCTGAGTAGAGGACTACAATCCCTGAAAATCGCAGCTCATTTGGACTCATAGTTCCTGAGATAAAATCGTGTTAAACAATTTGGGGTCATTTTTCAATTTTTCAATTGGAATACAAAATCTCAACAAAAAAAAAATGAAATTTCATTCATGGCAATATGAGAAAGATTCTTAAAACAAACAAAATACAACTTTCAATTAGACTCCTTTGACATTAACATATTTCACATATTACCTATTTGAAGCAAAAAAATATAATTCTTACTCAAAAATCTCCTTCAACTTGTTACTGGGCCCAGCAACTCTATCTCCAATCATAGTATGAAGCCTGGCAATTTTTTCTGAAGCGGATCTTATTAAAGTATCGCCCTCTCTGGGTCCCAAAAACTTTCTACCGGTCAAAGGAGTGTCAAAACCTCTCGCAGCACCCTAAAAAATCACTCGAAAATTGCCTTAAAAATAAATTACTGCAAACTTACAGATCCTCCTCCAACTTTTGGAGATTCTAATAACAATGTGTCAGCTGTAAAATAAAATAATTATTTACAATTTTAACAATAAGATTGTATTACTTGAATCTCCTGGAGGTAAAACCTTCATAGATGTCCAACTTTGCTCTCTTTCCATTGTAATTCGTTTAAATTCAGCTACAAATAAACAAAAATTGTAAAGATGTTTAAACATAATACCTAATTAAATCTTTACCAAGAAAAATTCTTTCATCAAAATCTCCATAGTTTAAGAGATGTGTCTCATAAGTCTTGGTAATATTTCTGAAATTTTGCTCAAAGTTGTCCCCATTAAAAATACCAGTAAAATCATTTTCATCTGCTATAAGTATACTGTTACTAATCAGTTTTGTTATAAGAGGCCTAAAGATGTAAACTTTCATGTGTAGGGCTTCTTTGATTAATAAATCATGTTTGCAAAATCTAAAATAATTAATTTTGAATTTGATAAACAAACAAATAACAATAATTACTTTTTTACAATGCAAGGCACTTCATTATTAACAGCTCCTTGTTCAAGTAGCTCTTCTGATAAACTAGGATTTATTAAATCCCTCATTTCAGCAGCTACAACATTTTGGAAAACCAAATCAATGCAACAAAACAACAAGTGATGAGCTTTGATAATTTCGCTTCTGCAAGTGGGTTCATCAATTTTAATCGTAACAAACAAGTTCCAAATAAACTCTAAAATTTTCAAAGGAGTGCAAGGAATTGGCCTCATATTTCTTCTGCCTTTGTGTTTCAGTGCATCCAAATCTAAAGCGTTTGGTGCAGGCTCCACAAAAATTTCTGTAAAAAGTGGATGCAATTTTTTAAAAGTGTTTGAAGCAGTACTGAAGTTGACCCTTAGGTGATTAATCTTGTTGCGAAACTCGTCTGGTAATTGAGTCATTTCTGACCATCTTGTAATGTTGGTAAAGAATTGCACGAAACTTAAATTGCTATGCCTCAAAAGGCTTGTTAAATTTATTCCATTACCCCTTATTTGCTTTGAGCTTTTTTGTTCTACGTTACGTGAAGTTGAATAAATGGCACATCCCAGCCAATGTAGTTTTTCACCCTAGAAGTTTTAGTAGATAAAATGAACTCAAAAAGAAAAAATCTTCTTACCTCCAAAACAAACTTCTTGCTAATACTTTCAAAAGTGTCCCAAGCTGTAGCAGCAACTTCCTGATCCAAATTGAGTTTGTTGCACAATTCTTGGTGGGTTTTTTTCAATTCCTCTTCGCTGGAATTAGACAAAACCATCTTGGAAAGCTTATTTTATCCAGATTTTTGACACACACAAAGAACTACGCCTTTACAAAACGCGGGATTCCGCAGCTGATGCCTCAAACCATTTTTTGGCGCGAAACTGTTGAGGAATTTTAGCAGGTGCTGAGTTTATTTGTTGAAGATTTTTGTATACAACAAATTCGCGTGGGTTTATTTTGGACAATGGACAATAATAATTTTTTGTACCCTTTCAAATCAGCTGTCCAAAATTATAACCTAACTTTTTTTTCCTTAGGGACAATTTTTGTTTAAAAGTTTAATAATGCAATTTTTATAATCTTTAATATACTTGAAAACTAATAAAAATAAAAATAATAAGCTCAAACAAAACAAAATACCTCCCAAAATACATAAAGTAATCTTTTTCCCGCCAAAAGTAATGGCATTGTACTGGTTTGCTAATTATTGGTCAAATGCTATCACGTGACAAGCGTCGATTGATTGCTCTTTGTTTGACTATCCTTTTCTAACTGTATAAGACAAAAAGAGAAACATTTCAAATTTCATTCACATTAATTTAACTGATTCAAGCTTCGACAATTCAAGCCATGGAAAGAAATTAGCGGGAAAAATAACTGATTCAAACAACTTTGATGTTAATTTTTTTCAATACACAGTCATAGTGGATATATTGAATTTATACTAATTATTGAGGAAATTGATAAAGTTTTCTTTTTATTTATAGCATTTTCTTTTTTATTTTAATTTTTGTCTATTCCAGGCGTTTGAATTATTTTTCTTAAATATTATCCTCCTCATGAACTGTGTTTTTTTTTAAAGATAAAAGTCAAAATGACATTATGTTGGCAATACAATGTAAAATTGTCAATGCTTTTAAATTTTTTATGTAGAAAAGGCTTGTGTTGCCAACATAGTTACTAAATTTTTGACTTGGGAAATTATCTTAAAAAAAAAAACAGACTTTACACCTCTTGTCGAATGTCGGCTTTTCTCCGACTTTCTACGTTATATCTTTCTTCTCTCTCGTGTAACGAAATTTGCCAAAACGTGACGTATTTATAAGACCGCCGCTTATGGCCGTTTCCACCAACAATTTTAGGAGAGCCCTAACGATAAGTATTCCCTGGAGTGCGTTCGAAATGACCATGGGCGTCACACCGAGTGCACACCAGCCATGAATAATTCATAGCTGGTGTGCACTCGGTGTGACGCCCAGGGTGATTTCGAACACACCCCTAAAATAACATTTTTACATGGAGAAATGTCAGTTTAGGGAATACTTACCGACGTCAAATTATCGAAGCAATGTCAAAAAAGAGCGAATTTTGCGCAAGTGAGAATAAGCTTTAAAGCCTAGTACTTATAACAGCAAAATTCCCGTTTTTTTGACATTGCTTGGACAATTTGACATTTTTATGCGTGAATAAAACGTCAAATTCAAATTGTCGAAACAATGTCAAAAAAGAGCGAATTTCGCGGTTATATGAGTACTAGGCTAAAGAGAAAGCACAGTTTATACCGTACCGATACAGTTGTTCAACTCCGTTGACACACCATTGATTTTTTTGAAGCCAAATTCTATGTCCCTATATTTCGCGCATGCGCATTATTGATCGGAAACAACGAATCCTGGGCCGTGGACAGAGTCGGACTAGGATTTTTTGTGGATTAACATTGAGAATATAACGGGATCATATAATAATAAACAAAGATTATGTGAATGTATAGAGTAAACCTAATATGAAATATGTAAATATAAATACTTACAGTCGTTCATCGTTCGGGAAACTAAAATATCCAAAGCCTGGGCTAGTTCTAGTGTTGTTTTTACAGACAAAACAGGAAGCAACCGTGATAATACACAATATATAAACGATAAAACAGTCAAGTACACAAAAATCGCGAATAACACGGAAAACAAAACCGAATTTCAAATTGATGAATTTTCCGGTTACTTTTCAATTTCCTGAATAATTTCAGTCAAAAAACTTCTCTTCTTTTTTCGTAATACAATCCTGTTGCGTGTCTCGTTTGACAGTTATTTCTCGCGGGTTCTCACCCAAGCTATCTCTATCTCTTTTTTGCGTGCAGGATTGAAAAGAGACATGCATATGCCGAACTGCTTTTTCAATTTGAGAGTTTTGTTCACTCATTGAGCGCATGCGCAAGATATGGGTCAAAATACTCCTATTGGTTGGAGAATTTGGCCTCAAAAAATATGGAGAGTTGTACAACTGGTGGAGAAAGTTTCATTATAAAAATGAAAAACAAAGAATGAAAGAGCCAAACATGTTTTGAAATCTAACATACAAAACAGTTAGACTGCTCGGAACAGAGACAGTGCTCGTGTGGAATTTTTTGAGTCGTGGTAAAAAACGAAAGGAAACGCGCATCTGTAGTGACGTCACAAGGGTATCGGCGATTGACAATAGGCAATTTTTCGCGACGATAATCAAACATAATCTGATTATGCTCTGGTGGGGGATTCTCATCGTCTAGTCGCAACGTATCGTCCCGTCTATCCCATTGCCTTTCTACGAGTGAGTCGGGGCGATAGGTTGCGACTAGAGGATGAGAATCCCCCCCAGTTACTCCCTTTAACTCCCTCTATTGCCTTATCATCCAATTCTGGGCCTGCAAGTGACGTCACTATCAGCATCTTAGATGACATCACCCGCAGACCTCGATGGAATGCTTGTGATTCATGCTGTGCTAGTAAGTTAATTTTTTCGTCGATTTTAAATGTAGAAGGTGATTCTCAGTCTGTTCTCACAGAAGAAGTTAAGTGTTCTTGATCCCCGAATATCCTAGAATTTAATGGTGAGGGAGTTAGGGGAGTATGACACAACATCTGAGCATAATCAAGTATGCTTGGTTTCTCGCAAAAAATTGCCTTAATAGTTGATTGTAAATTCTTGGTTTGTGTCAATCGTTTCTCGGCTGTCATTGTCATTAGCTGTCTTTCTCCGTTCCTCTACGTTATATTTTTCTTCTTTCTCGTGTAACGAAATTTGCCAAAACGTGTGACGCGTCTTGCAAATCACGCTCGCATCTGTAGTAACGTCACAAGAATATCGGCGCTTGACAATAATAGGTAATCTTCTCTGCGTTTATAATCCTTGATAAGCTCTTATATCATTTTTTTATTAACAACCTGAGAAATAGTCATTATTCAATCTATTTTTCTAAGCAAAAATTGAATTTCTCTTTCCTGGGTTAATAATGATCATAATAAAAAAAAAACCTTTGTCAATAATGAAAATGACGTCCTGACGTAAGGATATTATCATGACGTACCATGTTTCTCATAAGTACCCAAAAACGATACTGATTTTGAAAAATCAAGGACACATGTTGATACATAAAGTAATAATCACTTGTCAAGAGATGAATGTGTATCAATGGTGTAACCCGATCGAAAATCATTAGAAAAAAAATAAAAACTCAATTTGAACCAATTTTTTTCCTAATATGTTCAACCATTGTATACGCATTATAATGACCAACTTCTCTACCTAGGTATATAATATAATATTTTGATAATATTTCAATTATTTTAATATAGGTACTTACATAATGACGGTTCACAGATATAATTTAAAAAAAAACCGGCACACGGGGCCGGTATCTCAATAGCGAGTCATCCCCGCGTTAATCCCCATATGGGTTGCTCGGGCATATTATATTCGCTATAATTGCCCGAGCAACCCATACACACTAATCGCTACTTGCCGAATAGCAAATATTTGTGATTCGAGACTCGCCGAATACCGCATGTCTGTGCCCGCCTTTAAGCAAAGCTTTAAGCATAAACTCCAAGGTGAACATTGCAACTGGACACGTTTACCCTGGAGTTAAAACCACCCCGGAGGTGATTAACTATTGGGAAACCGGCTTACAAATGTGTAAACAACGTAAATAATCAAAAAAACACAATGATAATACTTAGTTGGTCTGTTCGTGCAGAAATCGCAAACCAGTCAGAGCGTATTTTATTGGTTGAAAGCAGTTAGAAAACTAGTTTTAACCAATGGAATTTACTCTGACTGGTTTGAATTTATTGCAGGAACAGACCTAGATAATCAAAAGGAGAATAGCATCTATAGTGACGTCACAAGGGTATCGGCGCTTGGTTTGGGTCAATCAATAGCTATCTTCCTACGTCTCGTTACGTTATATCTTTCTTCTCTCTCGAGTAACGAAATTAGCTTGTTACGTGTTTTTCAAATCATTCTTCATTGTCGTCCGAATATCAGACCGCCGCCTAAGAAGTTTGACTTCAAAAATACGTGACGTCTGCGTCTGAAAGACGTTTTCACGCAGACGTCTGATGTTGGATTTTGTAACATACGACGTTTTCAATATGTCTTTAAGGCCCAGTGGTAAAAAATTTCAAACAGAATTCGTTTCTCATTCAATTAAAATTATTAGAAGTTACTGGTCACTGGAAACCATTAGAATGCTATTGTAATATTCCGAGAAAATAGATCCATAAATCACAATGTCTTTACTGTAAAAAATTAAATAATATCAAATTATCCAAAACTGAATTTCCGATATTTCCAAATCAGTATCTATAAATTTAAAATGGAACAAATTAATGTGACCCTAAATACATTCGAAATTATATTAATTCCCCAGCGTGATATCATCCTAACATCCGATCAATGAACTTTTTTTAACGAGGCCATAATAATTAAATCGAATGATTTATGGCATTCTTGAACCACTGTATTCGATCCCGATAAATTAGGATATTGCGATATAATTATTCGATTTTTTAAACTTAAAATGATAAAAATTTCAAGGAAATTGCATCATTATTTTTAATAATATTTAGGTCGGCCAATGGGATTGTCTGATTGATAATCAAACGACCGCCTATTGACGATTTTGGGGAATAATTACTAATACTTTATTTAATATAAATACCGCGGTTTTAGAAGTGGAAGGCAGTTGTCAGTTGAGTTACCAGTTGTTAGCAGTCCAGTCCAGTTTGAGTCTACAGTACCAATGAGTCAGTCTGAGTAAAATTCGCGAAGCTGCCTCGGAAAACGCGTTCGATTTAATTTAGCAAAAGTACGGAAAATTGTGAAAGAAATAACATTTAAAATTCGTTCAATTTATGTGCGTGCTAGCTCAAAATTTTGAGTAATTAATTAAGTAATTTTACGTGTGAAAAGTTAAATGTAAGTACTTTAGTGTTTAATAATTTTCTGACTTTTATCAATGATTCTGAATGATAAGAAGTGAACTAACAAATGACTTTTAATGCCTAAAAACTTGAGTGATTTTTACTAGAAAAACTTTTTGACTTTATAATTAACTGTGGAACTTTATTGCATAAATATCAATAACTCGAGTGTTTTGAAAATGGAACATTATTGCATAACTTTAATTGCCTTCAGATATAATGACATTCTAATTTAATTTTGCACCAAAAATATGAAGGGAATTTATAATGCATTTAACATAACATACTAAGTATCGATTTGAGTAGGGATTATTAGAGAATTTTGAATTGGATTGTCCGATTAAAGTTTAAGGGCTATAGTAACGATCTAATAAGAATTTAAATAATTTTGTATATTAGCTAGGATTGCGGAAAATAGTAATTGTTCTATTTAAATGAAATGGGATGTTTCGAAAAAAAACTTGTGCATGAAATGATATTGTTGACGATAATCATTCAATGTAATGGAGTGGTTAGTTTAAGAACTGTTGTTCTTCATGAAATAAAATTGCTGACGATAATCATTAGACGTATTGAGAAGGTTTATTTGAAATTTGTTATTCATCAAGAGACATTGATGATCTTAAGTGCCGAACTTTTGAATTAGGGTTTTAAATTTCATGTAGAAATTATTGTAAGGTTTTATAAGAATAAGTTAGTAATACCTATATTAATAAACAAATAGGTAATTATTTTGGGTTTTTCATAAGCAATCAGTAAGGGACTTAGTAATTATAAAGAATTTATATAAATAGGTGAAGGGTAGTTTATTAGGAATGAATCGGAAGTGTTGAAATGAGTTAACTTATAAGTTATTAGGAATAGTAGGAATAGGGCGTTTCTTTATTAGTAGGGATATTTCAGTGGTCCGTATTAATGACATATTGAACGGATGTGAAGTAAATGAATTTAGAAAAATAGATGAGGCTGTCAGAATTGGAAGATATTTTGCCGATTTAAAATTTTGGGTTTTATGTATAATAAAATATAATTTAGTAAACCTCAATAGTTTGTTTATCTCTTTTGCAAATAGACCCTTCCACAATTTTATAGGTAGCAGCTCCAAGGAAATAAACACCATCAATATACCGCTCGCCATTTACCATCTAACTAATTACATAGAGTACTTGGGGCGTTTTGCTACACTATATATACAGAACACTTTAGAACTTCATAGTTCAAAACACAGTTCAAAACATAGTTCAAAAAACGCAAATTCAATTCAGAATTCTCAAAAGCATTCTGTAGCGCTTAAGATCATTTTTGGAAACTTCAGAAATATTTTAGAATTCCTAAGACATTCAAAAATTGAATTACAATTTCCAAACGCATTGTAGAACAATTCAGAACTTTCAAACCCGGATTAAGACGCTCCAAAAGACTCAAACACTTTTCGGATTCAGGTTAAAAGGTGCAAAACGCCTTTTCAAATCCAAGTTTAGAACTGGAGCTTCATAGGGCTTTTATACTTAATCATCGGTCAGAATAATTTAGAGATTATTGAAAAACTTGCTAGAATGCACAAAACTCTTCAAGCCAAGTTAGAACACTTTAGAATTTCAATAAACCATTTAGAACACTTTCCAGCAGAAATTTGAAAGGCTTCAGAACAATTTAAAATCTTCAGAATTATTTCAGAGAACTTAACGCCTGGAATAGTGGGTAATGATCCTAATGTTATCCCATACTTATCTTGACATACTGTATATAATTTGAAATAAGAGCCCTAAATTCTCTATAAACTGTGCTCCATTTGTTCAAGTAGCTCATAAAGTTTCCAAACTATCTCAGCTTCAAAGTTGAACTTTAGTCAAAATATAATAAACACTTGAATGTTTCAAACCTAAAATATTTCTAATACGCAAAAATAGTAATTTTTTTATTAATAAATTTCTAACAATTTATCACAAATTATATTGTCACGTCCCTTGGTATTTTGTGACATTTTCTTCTTTGTCATGACTTCTAGCAACCTCGCAACTTATCTAAAACCAATCACCACATTATCAAAAAACTATTCAATCCAAAATAATTACCCTTCCTTCAATACTCTTTTCCGGTTGTTTCTTTTTAATTTCATCATAAACAATTTCATCTTTTTCATTCAAAATTAGTTCGTCTCTATCTTGTATCGCTAAACTTTGACTTCTTGGTGCATTGAATTCAGAACTCAACTAAAACCACCATTTAAATCAACTAAAATAACCAGCCAAAACAAAATTACCCATCCAATACTGTCAGCCCTAATCTTATTCAGTTTGGCATTGCTTTTGCTATGACTGACTTCGATTGTTGATTTAAGTAAATCGTTTTTAGATACTTTTGTATTTTGAGCCCCTGAGTAACTTCCTCTTCTGATACTGTTACTTCTAACTCTAGGCAAATGGTTTCTGCCCAACGAAGATAGAGAACCGATTTGGTTATATTCAACCATAATGCTTAATCTTTCGCAACTGACCATAGTACCTTGGTCTTTGAATTTGGGTTCGTCGTTTCTAAGTTTTTCTGTTGCCGGGTCTTCATCTGAATAATAATTTATATGAATATTGAATTATTAGGTTTTTTACTTACCAAAGTCTTCATCAAATTTAGCTTCATTTTTTTTTAGCCAAAATCTATACAAGATAATATAAATAAATCCAGATGCAGCTGCAACGGTTCCCATTATTTTGAAAGCATCTCTGATGCCGAATTTGCTTATAATGTGTCCGCCGATAAACGATCCAGAACCTCTTCCTATACTGTAATGGGCCATTCCTACTACCCCTATGAGGGTTGCTAGTAAATTTGATGGTGCAAGAATAGCACAATAAGTAGCTGCAGCTACCCACATCAAGTGAACTGAAAGAGATTCTAAAGCTTCAAACGGGAAACACCACCAAGCACTCCTTGAAAATATTTTTGGTGTAGTTAATTGTAATGATAAGAAAAGTGAGTAATTCTTACTTGATGAATGAATAACCAATTAGTCTAGCTGCATGAGCAAAAAATGCTAAAATAATAATATTAACGTGCCCAAATTTATGAGCAATACTGTCAGAACCGTACAAAAAGGGCAAGCTACTTATAGTACCAACTGTAACAGTTATACCAAGAAGTGAATTTGGTGCCCCCAAGTCTCTCAAGTAAAAAAACAAATAGCTCTCAATAAAGCCCCATAGATTGCCTAAAATATACAAAAATATCACAAACACTACAACTTTAGGCATTTTAAAAATGTTGATTAAATCCTTAAAGACATTGTCCGATGGTAGTTTGGTGTCCAATGGCATCATAAAAGCCGCCCCAGCTGAAATAATCAAAAGGACATCGAAAGCCCAAAAAGCAGCCGAGTAATCTGTATGTCCGGAGCTTTGGCTGTTCAAATCAATAAGATAACCAATCAACGGCGAAAATATCGCCATTCCAAGACTAGAAAATAGACGCTCCTTGCCAAAATCGCCCCCAAATTTTTCGATCAAAGCCAAAGCTATCGGGTCCATGATGGTCACTCCAGCGGTCAACATAATTGTACCAGTAAATCTCAACAAAAAGTAAATCCAAAACGTCTTATTGTCGGCCTCTTTGTAATCGGGCGGACACAGGTTCGGGCCGTTCGTACGAAACTGGCATTTTTGGAAAATACAATCTTTGGACATTATCTTCAGGCGGTTTTTGGTTACGGTGTTCGAGGCGTAGACTATTCCGCCGCATCTCAAGTCCAAACCTTCGAGTTCTTGCGTTTGGACGCCGTAACGTTTCAACAGCCGCGGGTTGAATCTTTTCGATAGTTCCATCACGTTCACGTCTTCTTCTTCTTCCATTTCGAAGCCGAATTGTTCGATTGGTTCGCCTAGATTTGGATGCATGTCTAGGGTTATTACCAGACCAGAACCGTTTTTTCTAGAATATAAAATTGATAGTTGAGTGAAAAAATTAATGAGTGAAAAACATGAAAAAAGCAACAGAAATGAAAAAATTAATTGATGATAGAAGCTTCATGAAAGGTTTGTAAAAAAAGCTGTGGTAGAAAGCTTCTCAAGTCTTGAGAAACAAATTGAAAGTTTTCAGAACCAATGTCAAAAGTTTTTGTTCAAGAAACAATTGTAACTCACCTAGGCCACTAGACATTCTAGAATTAGGAATTTGAAAATAGAAATTATTTATGGAACCATCACTAGAAGCTGTTTAAAATGTAACTATAACCCAATAGCTATTATTGGCTAACTAAATCAAGAAGAAGAGTTTCAAGAACCCATTATACAAAAGCTTTGGAAGAATTTTCTGAAAAGCTAGGTACCTACTTCTATATAGGGACGCAACTAATGGGTGAAGAACTAAACGCGAGCCTAGGACGCCAGAGTACCGAAGCCAGCGATACCTGATTGTAGCAAAGCGTTTCACTTCTGCCCTTCGTTCTTGTTTACTTTTATATTTCAGGTTGTGCTGCTATAGGTCCGTAGAAGTTTCCTGCTTTCGTTATATCGGTTGACTTCGTGTACTGCAGGGAAAAGCAGGTGGCGCTCTATATTTAATTATTTAATTGATCCACACCCCTCTCCGCATTGGAAGCTAGTCGGCAACTCTTCACACGAAGTACCGTTTCTAGATTTTCGCCACCGACCAACCCTCTCTTTCTATTTTTTATTTTTTTGTTTGAGTTACCCATTCACTGTTTCACTTCCTCAAATTTTATTATTTACTTTTCAATGCGTTTTGCGGGTAACAATGTTTTCATTTGACTGATGACAGTTTATTAACGAACGACGCAAAAGGTATGAAATACTACACCAAATTTTACCTGTGTTCAATTTCAACGTTGGCCGGACGTTTTTCCAAGAATTTCTATCTGACTTTATGACCGGCCGTGTCAGATGACATTTTTAAAACGTTTCATAAGTTACAGGACATAGAGATAACGACGGATTGACGCCTTCAACGCAACGTTGAATTTGGTCCAATATTATGACGTCCAATTTACGTTTTTTATCTTACCTTATTATTAGTCGTATTGAACGACGTTTAAAAAACGTTTCAGAGGTCACAAGTATGCAAGAGGACGACGGTTTGACGTCACCTATTTAATGTTAAAACTGGTTTTCATTTATTACGTTAAAATTGAGCTAGTTAGATAAAGGTCCGATTATTTCCTGACCACATATCAAGGACGACGGCACGGCACGACGTAATTTCAACGAAAAATCATTGGCGGTCAGTTATCAGCACTTCTGGCGACGTTGTATTTGGTTAATACGTAGTCGCAGGGACATACATGTGCTGATTGGGAAGAACTGACCACAAATAACTAAAGGACAGAGTACTAATACTACTTGTATAATTCTTATACAAAGTTGTGTAAATTTAAATTACATGATACTGAACGGAATGACCATTAAGCACGTTTGTACTTCCGCAGTCCCCACGAGAATTACCATGGGTGCTCCGCACCCATGAGATGTTGCTCATGGGTGCACCTGCCCCAATGCCCCCATGTAGTCAAGAAATATAAGTGCAAATAAGTTGAAATTTTCAGGGATTGTAGTCCTTTTAATTCGGATAAAATTCAGTGAAAGTTTCAACTTTCTATCTATAATAGGAAAAAAGTTATGACATTTCAAAGTTTTCCAAAATCTAAATAATAAAGTAGCTACCTTCTTACTAAAACGATGAAATTTCAATTTTTTTTTTCGTCAAGATTTTGTATCCTAATGATCAATCAATATACCCCAAACTCCATAGGTACACTAAATTATTCTGATTTGAAGCCGAAATCAATGAAAAAAGGCACTCAGAAAAATTGAAAAATTGATTAATCACCCCAAATTGCTTAAGAGCCAGGGATAAGAAAATATTATTCACCCTGTATCTTTACACAGTGGTGGAATTGTTTTCGATCACCGGTTTTCGTGAAATATTTCCTACAAAAGCCGGGAATAATAACATATTGATCACTCTGTATTTTTAAACAGTGCGACTTATTTTTATTGAGTCGATCTACAGTGGGTAGAATTGTTTTCTATTACCGCAGGGATATGAAAATATTGATCACCCTGTATCTTTACACAGTGGTGGAATTGTTTTCGATTACCAGCTTTCGTGGAAGATTTTCTACAAGAGCCGGGAACAAAAGAATATTGATCATTTTGTATCTTTATACAGTGGCTTATTTCTATTCAGTCAAATTACAGTGGGTAGAATGGTTTTCTATTATCGGCTCTCGTCAAAGATTTTCTATATGAAGAGCCTAGGATAAGAAAGTATTGATCACCCTGTATCTATCTTTACACAGTGGTGGAATTGTTTTCGATTACCGGCTTTTGTGAAACATTTCCTACAAGAGACAGGAATAATTAAATATTGCTTACTCTGTATCTTTATACAGTGACTTATTTTTATTACAGTGGATAGGTGGGGGCCAAAATTATAGTATTAAATGGAAGAATGGGAGGAGGTTGTGTTAAAAATGCCATTAAATCTTGAAGAAAAATTTGAAAAAGAAAAGCTTTAGGAACTAATGCCAGAAGTTCCACAAAATACTTAAGGCAGTAAAAAAAGTTAAATAGGTAGGTATTAAAAAAACCAGTACCAGTAAATTCTCATAAAAGAAAGCTTTGAGAACCAACTTCAGGAGATTCAGAAAGAATTGCTGAAAAAGCCTTGAATCCATTAGCAACTTTTGTTAAAGATTCAATTTAGGTAAGAGAAAACTCTTCAAGAAACGACATCAGAAACTTCAGGAGAAGATGTAAAATATGCCATTACATCTTAAGCAATAAATTGAAAAAGAAGGACTTCAGGAACCAATCCTAGAAGAGGGTCTAGAGGATGTTACTAGATCATATTAGCAACTTAACTAGTACCTATTCATGAACAAATTGGAAAGAAAAGTAGGTATCCAAAACTAATATCAGAAGATTCAGAGCCATTCCTGAAGAATCAAGTTAAGAAGGAGAGGTCCAGAAACCATTACCAAAAGGTTTAGAAGAAGTTACTGAAGACGGAGGCTTCAAAATCAAGGAATCTGAAACTAGAACAATCAATACGGTACCAAAAGTTTCACAAGAAGATTGTGAAAAAAATCAACAAGTTTTTGGTGATAAAACTTCAGAAGCAAAAAGCTTTTTTCCTTCTCTGAACCTTTTATGATTGGCTCTTGACTAGCTTGATTTCCTGAGGCATATAATGACTTAAATGCTGAAAAAGTATGAATCAAACTTACGCTCTGGTATTATTTTTCCCTAAATGAAAAACCAAATTGTCCTCTTCGCCAGGATCCAAACCAACCTCGGTTCCATTACCGAAAACAATCAACTGAGGATTTGTTTCTTTTTGCTCCTTCAACAAACAATGATCCACGCACATGTCCAGCACCACGTCAATCTCTTCGGCTTCCGGACACTCTTTCGACGGACAAGGACTCCACCAAACTTCCACGTACATTTTTTTCGGATGCGTGATCACGTAACCTGGAGGTTGGACGCCCGGTAGCTCTTGGCCCGGAATAAAGAGTAAAGCATGATGGAGAACGGCGGTTAGTAAAAACGAAACTATAACCACCGGTTTGTAACGGCCGAATTTGTCCACTAAGAATCCGGTTATTGGGGGTGCTAGGAAAGTGGTTAAAGGTAATGCCAAGTACACCAAGGAAATGTCTTCCATTTTTAAGCCAATGTTTTGCATGTGGATTGTTAGGTAAGGAACTAAAGATGAGGTGGCTAAAACAATTTGGATTGAATAACTGGTTTAGTTTTTTAAACTACCATACTTACCTCCATAAAGAAAAAACAAAGTTAATTTAAGCGTTATCAAATTTTTGTTAATCCCAAACCATCGGTTGGGTGGCGATTCTGAAGACTTTTCGTCCATGTCAGTATCGGTAGCTGCCTGAGCAGTATCTTCGATAGCCATTTTTGTACTAGTACAAATTTTCAAAATGAAAATCTTAGCGTTGCTTCTTCAAAGTTAATATAGAAAAATGGTTTGTTTATAATCAGATTATAATAATTGATAGTATTATTGTAGTATTTGCTTAGGGATGTTGGGTACCTAGTACAATCTCGACGTTTAAAATAATATTTATTTAATTATAAGTGTATCAAACTTATAAGATAACTTGCAAGATGCTTTCAAACTTCTTCAAAGTGAAAAGTTTCAATCTTCTCTGTTGAATAGCTTCTCGAAGACTTTTTCATTAAGTAATTATTATAATAATTTACACTAAAACATCATCTCCTAATGAAAATTGCCAGATGTTCAATTATTACCTATAGATCTTCCATATCATTATCATTTCATTGCTAGGAATATGACGCAAGAATACACATCTAAATGTATGTTTAATTTAAAGAAATAATACATTCTAACAAGTAGTTTTATTGATTAAGTTAATATTATAAAGATGCAAGGTTGAACTATCCAGAAAACAAAAAAACCCTGGATGAAAAATGATAAACTTATTTTTATAATTCAAAAGCGATAAGGGCCGAATGAAAGGAAATGGTGATTTGATATGGGATGCTGGAATCAAAGGCATAAAACATTTGTTGTTGTGCTTTCAAACTAAATAAAATGCATTATTTTTCACTCTTGATTATATTAATTTCAACCAATAGTTATTGTTTCTGTATGATTTACAAATCAAATTTCACTGGTTAGTTTTATAAAAATTGTAAACAAATTTGTCTAGGATTTTTGCTTTTAGATTTGTGGAAATGCCAGGTTTCGTATTCACGTACTGGCAGTACTTACAAAGATTTTTATCCGGTTGATGTAAACGAAAACGCTTCGCTTTACATTGATTTTCATTTTGGTGTGCTAGCATCCAGCGATGCTCATATTTTGTTAACTGCATCAGGTAAGGACATTTTGATTTTTCTATAGAAGATTACAATTCTGCCCTAATTTCTTGGAATTTAAATTTTATTACTTTCAATTTTTGTCTGTTCCAGGCGCTTGGCTCTCTGAAATAATTCTGAGGTTTTTAAATTGTTCTGAAGCTAAGTTTTTCAAAATGGTTCTAGAGTGTTCTTAGCTGCCTCAGTACTAAAATGATACAATTTACAATTTTTTTTTATGTTGAGATTTTGTGTCTAAATCTAAATGATCATTCAAGACCCCCCAAATTCTATATACTAAATTATTCTGAGATTTGAAGCCGAAATCTATGGAAAAAGACATGCAGAAAAATTGAAAAATTAATAAATTATACCCCAAATTTCTCAACATGATTTTATTTCTGGAACTATAATTCCAAATGAGCTGAAACTTTCAAGAATTGTATTGGGATAAAAATCGCTAAAAATATAAGGTTTGTATCTCTAATAGGAAAAAAGTTATGATTTTTTAAACTTTTTAAAAATCCAAATCATAAGGTAGCCAAAATCAATAAGGTAGCTACCTCACTACTAAAATGATGAAATTTCAATTTTTTTTTTTGTTGAGATTTTGTGTTTCAATGGTATTTTAGGATCTCGCAAACTCCATACACTAAATTATTTTGAGATTTGGGATTCTATGAAAAAAGGCACTCAGAAAAATTGACAAATTGATAAATCACCCCAAATTGCTTAACACGATTTTATTTCACGAACTTCCGAACTCCAAATGAGTTGACACTTTCAGGGATTGTAGTCCTCTATTGGCATAAGAATCGCTGAAAATATCAGCTTTCTATCTCTATCATAAGGTAGCCAAAATCAATGGAAAATTTTGTAGATACATATCTTAAAAATGTCCCTGAGATTTTCACAAACGAAATTCAAGACGTCTTGCTTACGTCCATTGAGGTAGAATCTACTACCTCAATGCTTACGTCTTAAAGACATCTTGAAAACGTCGTCCAACGTCTTTCAAACGTCTGCCTGAAGACGTCTTTAGGACTAAGGGATCCTAAAGACGTCTTCAACGAGATGTCTTAAAAACGTCTTCGAATCTCTTTTCAATACAAAAACTATTCACTTCTAGGCCTGGTTATGAGTACCAAATATAGATGTCTTTAATAAGATGTGAATAGGGTTGCCAACCGTCCTGTATTAGGAAGGACGTCCTGGATTTCGAGCGATTTTAATAGATTTGTCTTTCGTCCTTCCGAGCCCTTAAGAAGGACGCATTTTGTCCTGGATTTTAGCCAGTTGCTCAAACAATATAGAATAACAGATGTTTTTACTATTTTTAATGACATCCGACAACATTGCACTGTTGCGCACTGTCATTTGCGAATAACACAGTTAGTAGAAATTAAGGTTTAAAGCTTACTTTTCATGGAAAGTAAGCTCAATTTTTTGGTTTTTAAAATGTTTATTTCATTTTTTTAACCAGTAATATTTTTTAAATTTCAACCAAATTTCAATATTTTGAAAGTATCGGATCATCATTGCAAGAAAAAATCTGAAATGTAAAGAGGATCGTATGTCTGTGATAGCAGATGAATGTGACACATGCAGAGTAAAATTTAAACAAAAAGGCGAGTTGAAGAGTCAGCAACTAAAACACTTTGATATTAGTTATCTTTTTGAATGTGACACTTGCAAAGCAAAATTTAAACGAAAAGGCGATTTGAAGTCACAAATTGACACACTCGGATATTTATCCTTTTGAGTGTAACACTTGCAAAGCAAAATTTAAACGGAAACTCGACTGGGAGAGTCACCAAGTGAAGCACTCAGATATTTTCCTTTTGAATGTAACAATTGCAAAGCAAAATTTAAACGAAGAGATGTTTTGAAGATTCATAAACTTACACATTCTGATATTTTTCCTTTTAAATGTGACACTTGCAAAGCAAAATTTAAACAAAAATACTGTAGCAAAACGCCCCAAGTACTCTATGTAAATTGTTAGATGGTAAATGGCGAGCGATATATTGATGGTGTTTATATACTTGGAGTTGCTATCTAAAATCTGTGGAAGAGGGTCTATTTGCAAAAGAGAGAAACAAACTAATGAGGTGTACTAAATTATATTTTATTTTACATAAAACCCAAAAATCAGCCAAATATCTTCCAATACTTTACATCCTTCTTTATTTCTAAAAAAATCAATACTTCGCATCCGTTCTAGATTGTTATTTTTTTTACGGACCATTGAAATATCCCTCCTAAATAAGAAAAGAAACGCCCTATTCATACTATTTCTCAAAAATTATAATTTAACTCATTTCACTACATCCGAATCATTCCTAATAACTATCCTTTACCTAATCAAATAATTCTTTAAAATCTCTAAGTCCTTTATTTATGAAAACCCAAAATAAATTCCTATTTGTTTATCAACTAATTTATTCTCATAAAATCTTACAATGACTTCTACTTGAAACATAAAATTCCTAATTCAAAATTCATTTCATGAACAATAAATTCTTTTAACAACTTTTCCATATTTTAAGACAATTCTATTTCATGAACTTCAAGTTTCTTTCCAAAATTTTCTATTCCCTTTAATAGTTTAATTAATCAGAACAAATTCTATTATAAGTTCCCTTTTAACAACTTTCCAATATTTTAAGACAATTCTATTTCATGAAAAATTTTCTTTTCGAAACATCCTATTTCCTTTTAATAGTTTATTTAATCAGAACAAATTCTATTATAAATTTTCTTTGACAACTCTCCATTATTTTAAGACAACAATTCTATTTTATGTCATCAAGTTTCTTTTCAAAATTTCCCATTGCAGTTAATAGTTTATCAGAACAAATTCTATTTTCGGATTCCTATGCCTAGCTAATAAATTCAACTGTTTAATTCATAATTCCATCTCAAAATTGTATATTGTTAAATGCATTATAAGTACCCTGCATATTTTCTTTGCACATTTAAATTAGAATATCATTATATCTGAAGGCAATTAAAGTTATGCAATAATGTTCCCTTTATAAAACACTCGAGTTATTACTAATAAGGCAATAAAGTTCCACTGTTAAATTGAAAGTCAAAAGTTTTTCTAGTAACAATCCTCAAGTTTATAAATTCTACTTTCTAGTAATAATCACTCAGTTTGTTTTTATGCAATGAAAGTCAATTGTTGATTCACTTCTTATCTTTCAGAATCATTGATAAAAGTCAGAAAGTTTTTACTAGTCAAAATCACTCAAGTAAAATTCAAAGTTTAATCACACAAAGTCATGTTCATCATTTATATTGGAAATAAATCTTGTCACTATAGAGTACTTAAATTTTGTCCATAAAACACAGGTAAAATTACTTAATTAATTACTCAAAATATTTAGCTAGCACGCACATAAATTATTGAACGAATTTCAAATGTTAATTCTTACACGATTTTTCGAACTTTTCTAAGTTAAAATCGAACGCGTCTTCCGAGGCAGCTTCGCGACCTTTCAACTGGGCAAACTCATTTGGTTTTGTAGACTTTTACTCAAACTGGACAACTCAACAGATAACTGGCAACTGTAAATGGCAACTGAACCCGCGGTTTTTATATCTTCCCCCAAATCTTCCCAAAGTGTCGGATTGACACTTCCATTGGCCAACCTAATTATTATTAAAAATAATGATGCAATTTCCTTGGAATTTTATATCATTTTTAGCCTAAAAACGATTAATTATGTCGCAATGTTCTGATTTATTAAGGTCAAAACATTATTGGTTCAAGAATGCCATATATCATCAAATTAATTAACATACTGGCTTTGCTAAGAAAAAAAATTTCATTGATCGGGTGATGACACAGGGCTTGATGACGAAACACCTAATATAATATTAAACGTTAATTTGTTCCCTTTTTAATTTATCGATACGGATTTAAGAATACCGGAATTAAGTTTTTGATTATTTGATAAAATTTAATTTTTTTACAGTAAAGACTTTGTAATTATAGGGTCAAATTTCTGGATCATCACAATACCTTTTGGAGAGTCACCAATTAATACACTCGGATATTTATCTTTTTGAATGTGACACTTGCAAAGTAAAATTTAAACGAAAAGGCGATTTGAAGAAACACAAACTAACACATTCGGATATTCATTCATTTGAATGTGACACTTGTAAACAAAATTTAAACGAAAACAAAATTTGAAAAGTCATCAACTAATACACTCGGGTATTTGTCTTTTTGAATGTGCCACTTGTGGAGCAAAATTTAAACGAAAAAGCAATTTGAAGACATACATATTGAGGCATTTGAATGAGAAAAATTGAAAATGCAACATGCAACGCCGAAGGTAATACCAGTGGTTATTTGAAACAACATTCAGTAAAATAAGTGTAAGTTTGAATTTAATGCTTGCTCTGTAAAATTTAAACGTGATACAATTTTCAATGTCCATTTAGCATCCACAAGGTTAATTAACAAGTGTTTTAATTTATTATACAATGTGTCCAAGATAAGGAGGATCAGTATGGGGATTTGATGATATGGTGGACTAAAGACGAAAAGTCGGATTACAAATTTGATAATGCAATATTGTAGAGGAGGAAAAATGGCAATGATGAAATGCCATTTATTTCGAAATATCTCTTCAAATAAGATCAGGAAAAAATAAAATCGTTTTGGGCGAATTTCGGGTTTTCCCGGATATCTCCAGTATCACTCGGAATTTTTGAAATATCAGACCGATATTTCAATGAGCACAAAATTGCGCAACTTTTTCCTAATTTGAACAACGTCGTATCTTTCACTGTTTCCGAGATCCCCATACTGGCACTCCTTATCTTGGACACATTGTATACATACAATCTTAAAAAGTGACTTGTAATAGTTATTAATGACACTAGCTCATCTTTTCCAATTTTTGAATTCCGTTTGCAAAAACTGATTTTTTTTCAAAGTATTTTTCGAGATATTCAAGAAAATCTACGTAGGCATATTTCCTCGGATATTTTCTATGCATAGTATAGCAGGACCTACGTACTTTGATGAGGTATATCTGCTATCACAGACATACGATCCTCTTTACAGTTCAAATTTTTTCTTGCAATGATGATACCTTTAAAATATTGGAATTTGGTTGAAATTTACGGGGGCCTATTTTCAATATTAATTGTGCCTCCTTCTTTATTTTGTTTAAAATTAATAAAACGTTATATGATTAGGTGTCCTTTTTTGTTACTCTCTGTCCTTGTTTGTTTACACCTTTGTCCTGGATTTCAAAAATTAATAGTTGGTAGCCCTAGATGTGAATTTACGAAACCTTATGGACATGGACATATTCAAAAAAACGTCTTCTAGACGTTTTTTGTTGGTCTTCAGAGTAGACGTTCAGACACGTAATTCAGACCTAAAAAAGAGCCTTCCTCTTTTATTAATTTTTCTACAAAACACCTATAAATACTAAGAAAATACTTACATGTATTCATTTTCCTATATAGAAAACGTCAGTAAAACTGACCCAGTATACGAAATCGTTATCGGTGCAGGAGGAAACACTTTTTGCGATATCAGGAGAATGCAAAAATCCGATGTGCGCCATTCCGTACGTATCAAAGGACTTTTATCTGCACTGGATCCGAGTTTATTTTGGTTACACATCACACACGGTACAATTTCTCCACCAGCCTAATCCAATTCTGATTTAATTACAATTTTTAGATGCCAAAGGTGGTCTAATTGAAGTCGGCAGAGAAGGAGAAAACACTTCATTTATTGACTGGTTGGATCCAGAACTTTTACCAATAAGATTTATAAGTTTTAGTACCTGGTCCGGTATTGAAGCCAAGTGGTACTTCAACTGCGATCGGTCTCAAAGCCAAGAAGAAATCGAAAAAAAAATGACCGCCTTTGAAAAATTAAGACGAAATCTTTTAACTGCTTATGATCCTCGAGCTAAAAACGATTCCAATGTATATATGACTGTAAATGTTAACTACATAAAATTGGTAGGCTTATAACAGCCAAATTGAAAAATGCTAATTTCAAATTGATTTTTAGAACGACTACAATCCGAGTATTGAAATACACGCTACAACCTCAATGGTAAGAAACCAGCAATTAAATAAAAACAAAATCAAAATATAAATTTCCAGACATGGCATGATGAGAAACTAATGTGGAATTCAACACTGTATGACAATATTTCCACTTTCCATGCTTTGGATACAGAAATTTGGAAGCCTGAAATAAAATGCTTCAGGTAGCTCTTTTTATACATTAGGCAAATATCACTAAAACTCTATTTTCAAGTGTCTCTAATCTTACCCAATCGCCAACAGTAATATTTGCAAGCAACCAGGGTGAGGTAAATTGGAACCCTGATATCCACATACAATCGATTTGTGAGAGTGCAAAATTGAACAATTGGCCTAGGGATGTTATTTCCTGCAAAATCATTTTTGGATTTTCAAATGGCAAGATTTTATTGGATTTTAATAATACTGGAAGCAATTTGGTAATTATTTATTTACAATTAAACATAAATTGTTAATTTGTAATGTAGTTTCTAGATAGTACCAATGATTGGTTTATTTTGGAAGCCACAGTATTTGATATTGAAACTAAAAACGTCTCGAAATACCTCACTCCAAGTTTTGGATTTTATTTCAAATTGAAACGCTCTTCAGTGTCGTATAATATAATATTTTTTGCACCGTTTATAATGATTTCAATATGCTTACTTTTATCGTTTTGGGTTCCACCAAAAAGGCACATGAAACTATCCCTAGGAGGTTCACAATTGGTTCTAGGAATTATAAGTTTGCTGGCTTTGGCTTATTTTGTACCGCACACGTCTAATGAGGTTCCGTTTTTAGGTAAAATATTGTACGAGTATCTATTAATAATAAATTAATATTTTTATTTTAGTTAAACTATATGGATCATTTTTAATTGGCAGCTCAATATCGCTTATAATTTCAATAATAATAATACAAATTTCTTGCAAAAGACACTCAAAGCCTCTACATCATTTTATATGCAAAATTCTTACTAATAAATATGTTAAAATTGGATTGTGGCTACCAAATTTTGTGGTAAGTAAAATATCGGCCTATTATTATAAGTTTACATTAATAATAATTTTAGAGACCAGAAGATTATGGTGATTTAGATATATCCCTCTCATGTACTAACTTATCAAGACAAGAAGATAATAATAAGGACCAACAATACTGGACACTTTTAGCCATAGCCATAGACAGATTGTCATTTTTAATATATTTTCCTGTAATTTTCATTATAATCATCAAATATATTGTATCTTGTTTATAAAATAAACTAATAAGGCAGTTCCACAGTGCTACTTTTGCTAGATTTTGATCGGCTCGAAGATGACTCAGGACTTGAAAACACTGAGTCTTTGTGAGTGGCTTCGTCAAGTAATAATTTGATTTTTTGGTGGTATTTTTTGTTTTTTGGTAAGTCTTCTGAGAGCCTCAAGGGTGGAATTTCGTGCAGATCTAGGGCGAGGTATGGAGAACCCAAAGCAACTTTTGAACGCATCTAAAAAATTATTCTAAGAATTTGAAAGTAACAATAACTACTGTATCATCTACCTTTTCCTTTTTGGATTCTAAAATTGCAATTTTATAATTTATATCGCTGCGTGTACCAATTTCCTCCAAAATATCTTTATTTAAAATAAAATCTAATTCGCGCAATCGTTTCTCAGTACAAGGATCATGTTTTTGTTCAAATCTAGAAAAAAAATTCAATTTTTTTTAAATTCATAAATATACTCCTGAACAAAATTATCGCACCACTGCACATAAGCATCACCATAAGCAGTGGTGCCATAATTTTGTCCAGGAGTATACATAAAAACATCATACTTATTCAAATCAAATCCATCACTTTGTAATCCCCAATTGGAAGGAATCAAAACGGAATTTTGCAAAGGCGGCGGTGGCAAAATAGGAAAACTAAATCCATATTCAATTGACGCCTCAGTAAAATTTGTCCGTAATTTTGCAATGTAGTTGCAGCAAGTAACCAAAATGCAAGAGCGATCCCACAAATTTGCATTTCTACTGGCTTTGTCATCGAATTCCAGTTTCATTTCGTTAATGTCGCTAATGCCGAAACATTCCTTTTTAATTTCCAGTTTGCTGGATTCGTCGGGGTTTTTTCGTCTAGGTCCTGGATACATGCAATTTATACCCCATTCGATTAGTTTTCCATGAATACGGAAAGAGGGAAATTTCAGTTTTATTGTCTGGAGACATGTGTGTTCTTTAAGGTCCCATAATTTGAAAATCTATAGAATAAATCTACTTATAAAGTATATAAAAGGCAAGTTGAGTTGCTAATCTTTAAAATATCTCAATAACCTACCGCATCATTTGAGCAACTGAAAAATAAATCCTGACTTTCCATGATTTGAATATCAATAACTTCTTGTTGGTATTCAGAAAACAATGCTATTGGTTTTGCTAGAAAAGTGTTCCAAAGCCTTATTAGCCCATTGTTGCTGCCTGTAATGAGTATCTTGGATGAAGTGCTAAGTGCAAAACAACTTACACCCTAGAAAAATATTGATTTGTTATAAATTGATTTTTAGAAAAAATAAATTAACCTCTGTAACTTTATAAAAAACAGTTTTTTTCTTATTACTGCCATCTTTAATAACAACTGAAGCATTTTGATCTTTACTGCAAGTAAGCAAAAGATTAACTTCATCAAAATACTTAATATGCTTTATTGAATCTCCATGAATTCGACCATAATTTTTCACTTTAACAAACTCATTTTCTTTGATGAAATCCTAAAAAAAAATTATTCTGCATTAACAGCTGTTAATGTTATTATTGATTACCCTCCAATAAAACAATGTAATATCATCGTTCCTTTTCCTCCTCAAAAGGCCATTTTTGGGTTGCAAAAATGTAAAACTCATTACTTCACCGTTACAGTCTCCAGAAAATAAAACGCTGTGGCTGTAATTTGTCAGGTCCAGCTTGGTAAAAGATTTGTAAGATAAACACTCTAGGATATTGGGAGTGCTTAAAATCAGCCAATAAGCAACATGCTCCAAGCCTGATGCTTCATATATTACTATGCTTCTTGCTGTGTTTGTGATTATAAACATTAGAGTGTCTGGACAAAAAATTGCATCTGTTACCCATCTAGAAGTAATAATGCTTTCAATTTTATGGTGCTAAAACTAGAAGGAGGCAGAACTATAGATGCTGGAAATTTCAACTCATTTGGACTGAACTTTCGGATTTTTCAATTTTCTTGACGTCCTTTTTTTCAAAAATTCCGGCTTCAAACGAAAAGTGAAATTGCATAACTGCCTATGACAATGTTTGCGTATCGATGATGTTTTCTGTATGGTAAATTTCATGGCCCGCACATCACAAGAAAAGTTTCAAAACACTTTTCCGCATTGTATTCGTATAAAAATCGAAAACTATTCGAGATAATCTCTAGAGATTTGTGAAAAACGCAATTTAGAAATGGCCGCCCAAAGCCTACTTTGATTCTTTCAAAACGTGAAGTTGGTGAGCTAATGGCCGCCTATGGCAATTTTTGCTTACCCAGATGAGGTTTTCTTGGGAAAATTACTATATTTTCCTGCTTTTTGTAGTAAATTTGATGCCCCACATCACAAGGAAAGTTTTAAAACACTTTTCCGCATTAAATTTGTATAAAAATCGAAATTTATTTGAGAAAATCTAGAGATTTGTGAAGAACGCAATTTGAAAATGGCCGCCCAAAGCCTACTTTGGTTCTTCCAAAAAGTAAAGTTAGTTATTTGCTATATAATGGCGACTATGAAAATGTTTATTTATCTAGATGATGTTTTCTTGGGAAAATTACTATATTTTCCTGTTTTTCTGTGATAAATTTGATGGCCCGCACAACACAAGGAAAGTTTTAAAACACTATAACTCTTTTCACGTGGCTCCGGTTTAATAAACCGCAACATACCGCTCAAATTCGAGTGGTAGGTATCCATCACGTCACTTTGTAACCGGGTTAGAAAACGGTATGTCATTTCTCTAACCGTTTTGTAACCCGGAGCCACGTGAAAAGAACTTATGGGCCGGTTTCTCAAGAGCGAGAGAATCAAAGTAGGCTTTTGGGCGGCCATTATTCAATTGCGTTTTTCACTAATCTCTAGATTTTCTCGAACAAATTTCGATTTTTATATGAATTTAATGCGGAATAGGGCCGGTTTCTTAATAGCGAGTCACCTCCAGGTTAGTTTTAACTCCAGGGTACATGTGTCAGGTTGCTATGTTTACCCTGGAATTATGCCTAATCCGGAGGTGACTCGCTATTGAGAAACCGGCCCTATTCCGCATTAAATTCATATAAAAATCGAAATTTGTTCAAAAAAATCTAGAAAATTGTCTATGCTAATATGGACGCCTATGACAATTTTTGCTTACCTCGATGATGTTTCCTTGGGAAAATTACTATATTTTCCAGTTTTCTGTGGTAAATTTGATGCTCCACATCACAAGGAAAGTTTAAGAACACTTCCGCATTAAATTCGTATATAAAAATCGAAATTTGTCCGAGAAAATCTAGAGATTTGTGAAAAACGCAATTTAAAAATGGTCGCCCAAAGCCTACTTTGATATTTTCAAAATGTGAAGTTGGTTAGCTAATATGGCCGCCTATGACAATTTTTGCTTACCTCGATGATGTTTTCTGGGAAAATTACTATATTTTCCTGCTTTCTGTAGTAAATTTGATGCTCCACATTAGTCCGCATCACAAGGAAAGTCTGGAAACACTTTTCTGCATTAAATTCGTATCAAAATCGAAATTTGTTCGAGAAAATCTAGAGATTTGTAACACAATTTGAAAATGGCCGCCCAAAGCCTACTTCGATAAAATGTGAAATTATTTAGCGAATATGGACCCCTCCCTATGACAATTTTTGCTTACTTCGATGATGTTTTTTTGGGGAAATTACTATACAGGGTTGTCGCTATCTATGGAAACGACTTAATATTTCAGAACGCACTGTAGAAAAATGTACAATATTTCCTTCCTGAGGGTTTTTGGGAAATGAAAGTTTGGCATTTAAGGGTTTTAGTAATGTTGGGACGCTGAATTAATTACAATAGCATCTTGGAAGCGGTAAACTTGGCAACATTGCAAATACCACAATTGAATCGAGCATTCCCAAAAACCCCCAGGCACGTGATTCTGGAGTCGAAGGAGCACACTATGAGAACAAAGTGCCTTGTCCTTCTCAGTTCCACGCAAAATCTGATATGAGTCACAAAGACAGAAAACTTGTTCTCATGAAAACACTGCTTCACGAGAATCAACCTCGTATGTGTCTATTCTCGAAACCGGGGAACAGCTTTCTCACGAGAATGATTGCTCTGTCTTTGTCAGTGGTACGGAAATATAAATATGGGCGACTAAGATAGAACATTCGTTCTCATGAGAATGCTAGTTCCCCGGTTTCAAGAATAGACACCCTGGTAGGAAATATTGTACATTTTTCTTAAGTTCGTTTTAAAATATTAGTCTGTTTCCATTTATAACGAAAACCCTGTATTTTCCTGCTTGCTGTGGTAAATTTGATGCCCCACATCCCACGGAAAATTTCACACACTTTTTCGCAGTAAATTCGTATAAAAATCGAAACTTGTTCGAGAAAATCCAGACATATATCCATTGTATATATCCTATTCACAATTCGATGTCCACAGGTACAGGTAAATTTATCACCTTTCCCTATCAAATAGCATTGAAAGGTGATAAATTTTACCTATACCTGTGGACATCGGATTGTGAATGGATAATATGTGAAAAACACAATTGAAAAATGGCCGCCCAAAGCCTACTTTGACATTTTCAAAACGTGAAGTTAGTTAGCTAATATGGCTACCTATAACATGATACACCTCGATGATGTTTTCTTGGGAAAATTACCATTTTCCTGTTTTCTGTGGTAAATTTGATGCCCCACCCTACATCACAAGGAAAGTTTTAGAAACACTTCTGCATTAAATTCGTAAATAAAAATCGAAATTTGTCCGAGAAAATTTAAAGATTTGTGAAAAACGCAACTGAAAAATGGCCGCCCAAAGCCTACTTTGATACTTTCAAAGCGTGAAGTTAGTTAGCTAATATGGCCACCTATGGCAATTTTTGCTTAGCTCGATGATGTTTTCTTGGGAAAATTACCATTTTACTGTTTTCTATGTTAAATTTGATGCCCCGCACATGACAAAGGAAGTTTAATTAGAAAGAGAGAGAGAGAGAGAAAAGCATGGACAAACGACTAGAAGAGGGCGAGCGTAGAATTAAACATGGTTTGTCGTGTCGGGGGCCTTTCTCTCTCTCTTTCTAATTAAACCGATTGCTTGACTCATTAAAACCGAGGTGTTTACCGTTACCCTTGCTGTTACCGTTACCGTTACCGTTACCGTCCGAACTCCGCTATTTCCCAGAGACCATATAATTGACGTGTCTCGCAGAAATAGAAAAAGAGAGCTTAATTGTAATAAATACAAGTAAGAAAGTAATGAAAAATGACATGCGCGCGCAACTCGTGGCTGCAGTATAGCCAGATTGTATTGTTGCAGAACAAATGTAGACAATAAATCGAACATTATAACATTAAAGAAGTGATATATTTTCGAGTGCTTTACAACGCCATAAATCAGACAAAAGAAGAACTTTAAAGTGTTTGTTAATATCGATGGCACTTTTATTTTGATAAATGTTTCATCCGGCAACATCGCACAAGGAAATTGCAAAGGAATATGTCAATTATAATCTAACATAACCTTAAACGACACTGCGATAAGTTCAAGTAATACGTGAAGTATTAGTTTGGTCTTTGTCGAATTACACGTTACAGAGAAAGAAGGAACGATTGAATCTGAACTCGTCCCTGAATACGAATATGACGCAAGCCCGTAACAAACTTTCATTGGACGCTCACCTGCAACCCACGAATTGCGCGCGCACACCAGGTATTACGAGACACGTCAATTCACGTTTTTCTCCGTGCTCACCCGTTACACACTCTACTCCCCTTCTCTCTTTACCTGTCCGATAAATATTATTTAACCAGAGATGTTATTAATTAGTTGCACTTATTATGGATATTATTATTGTAAACTATCATCGTGAGTTTTATTTCTAAACTGAATGCGCACTGAGCCCTGGTTTTTCTTTCTCCACTGTAACAAGCTACCTGGTGCCCGTGGACCCTCGACCACGTTAATCCCGAGAGTGGCGCCCGAGAAAACCGATGGATAATTGACCGGAAAGTATTACCTGACCGATAAGTTTGCCACAGCTGTCAAGCACCCAAAGAAAACCTGTTACAAATTTGGCGCCCGAGCAGGGACTTTAGATATTATTCAACGAGCGGGTAATGATGGCTATTATTTACGAAGGATGAAGTTTGCACTACGAGCCGCAGGCGAGTAGTCTAATCATCCGAGTGAATAAAAGCTATTACCCACGAGTAGAATACTATACTTTCTCTATGATTAATAGATAATGGGCAAGAGTTATGCGGTTTTCTATTTAATTTCCATGACAAAATTAATTGACAATTCTGACAGGTGGAGGACAAAGTGAGGTTAGATTAGCACAAGTCTTGATTAAATCAGCTGTCAAAATGACTGATTGGAAGATTGAAGTACCTATGTTTGTCAACTTATGGAATTTTCTGATTGGCTCTTAAATAGTGGATTAATGAGACCAGGATATTTTCATTGGTTGAAAACAATTGAGTAATGAAAAAAAACTCACTGTATGAGTAATCATTCACATTGATAAATAGAAAATGGATGTATATTATGCATATTATTCAACACTCATAGAAAAAACACTTTTCCGTATTAAATTCGTATAAAAATCGGAATTTGTTCGAGAAAATCTATAGATTTTTGAAAAACGTAATTGTAAAATGGCCGCCCAAAGCCTATACTTTGATACGTTTTCAAAACGTGAAGTTAGTTAACTAATATGGCCGCCTATGATAATTTTTATATACGATAATGTTTTTCATTATTTATGTTTCAACCATTTTCCTGCTGTTTAAGTAGGAAATTACATGCCTTACACACGTTTCAAAAGAATTTTGTGTATTAAAATTGGTTAAAAATAGGAAAATTTTTAAAAGCAAAGTGATGTACTGTCGTGAGCATAAAAAGTGGGACACCCGTTTTTTCCTATTGACGTGTCTCGCAGAAATAGAAAAAGAGAGCTAAATTGTAATAAATTCAAGTTAGAAAGTAATAAAAAATGACATGCGCGCGCAACTCGTGGTTGCAGTGTAGCCAGATTGTATTGTTGCAGAATAAATGTAGAAAATACAAATCGAACATTATAACATTAAAGAAGTGATATATTGTCAAGTGTTCTACAACGCCTTAAATCAGACAAAAGAAGAGCTGTAAAGTGTATGTTAACATCGATGGCACTTTTATTTTGATAAATGTTTCATCCGGCAATATCGCACAATGAAAATATGTCAAGTATAATTTAACATAACCTTAAACGACACTGGGATAAGTTCAAGTAATACGTAAAGTATTAGTTTGCTCTTTGTCGAATTACACGTTACAAAGAAAGAAGAAACGATTAATTCTGAACTCGTCCCTGAATACGAATATGACGCAAGCCCGTAACAAACTCGATTTTCATTGGACGCTCACATGCAAGCCACGAGTTGCGCGCGCACACCAGGTATTACGAGACACGTCAATTGATTATCCAAAATAGCGAAAAATGACAAGACCTGTCAGTCGGGTGTCCTACAGTGGCTAAATAAACCTTTACATACAGTGGCGACAATAGAGGTCCCGCCGCCATCTTGTTCCCAACCTCTTGTTACCTACTTTTAAATATTGATATATTAAAAATCTGTTTTTTTTTTAAAGATAATTCCCCAAGTCAAAAATTTAGTAACTATGTTGGCAACACAAGCCTTTTCTGCATAAAAAATTTGAAAGCATTGACAATTTTACATTGTATTGCCAACATAATGTCATTTTGACTTTTATCTTTAAAAAAAAAACAGACTTTATAAGATTTAAATGGACATCTATCATAAAAAATTGAAATCGAAATATTTGATGACCATTATTAGGTCTATCAAATACGTTGTTTTCCCTGTTTAATGATGGATGTTCACCTAAATCCCATATATTCATATTTAAAAGAAACAAGAGGTTGGGAACAAGATGGCGGCGTTTTCAATATAAATATATGAGATTTTAGAATCAATCAAAAATAAGACAGCAATTGTCGTCACTGTGGGTAATAAAGTCACTGTAGGGTGTCCCACTCCCACTTTTTTTGCTCACGACTATACATACATGATTCCAAAATCGAGATTACAGACATCTGTAAAAAAATTAAAACTACTATTTTCCTGCTCTCTATAATAAATTTGATACCCTTTTATCACAAGAAACGTTTCCAAACACTTTTTCGCACTAAATTCGTAGAAAAATCGAAAAATATGAAAAGACTAGGTACTGCCATTCTTAAAAACCTAATTTTAAAATGGCCGCTCAAAGCCTACTTTAATAGGTACTTTCAAAACGTGAATAATATGGCCGCCCATGACAATATTGGTTGAAAACAGGAGAATATTTAAGAAAAAGTACCTATTTCTTCTTCTACGTTCATCTTCAGGCCGTGTCAAATCTTCCCTGGTCATTATGGCATGGTACGATGTTAAAAAATTTAAATTTCCATCGTACAAACCCACTCTGCCATGTTTCAAGATAATGGCGTAACAAAAATATTGTTCAGTTTCTATTAGAACTATTTTCGCTACGGATTCATTCTAAAGAAAAATTATTTAGTATAAATGGGCAAAAAGTGTATTAACTTACTTTGGTATGTGCCACTGTTTCGATTGAGCTCACTCTCAAGCTTAATCGATTCCTGATTTCCGGATAGATGTTTTTTATTAGATAATCGAGCAAATCGTTCCAAGTGATTGTTTCTTTTTTATTTTCAGTTATTTCCTCAAAAAGTCGATTTGTTTGCAAGTTTTCAAGTTTTTCCTTATTATAAAACGATTGAATTGCTTGGTAAAACTCGTCTCTGTACAAACCTGGACGTTTGCTTTTGAAAATCTTTTCAAGTTTTTCCAAGTCGCAAATTGATAGATTGTCTAGTAAATTGTTACGAGCAGTTTCTACTAAATTATCGTTTGGTTCAGTTTCACAAAAATGTATTGTTTTAGCCATTATTGAATAATGTATTTTGTATTGATTTAATAAGAACTTTGTTACTATAGATAGGATAGGATAGGAGCTAATAATGAACTAAGTAATTTTTGAATTATTTTTTTGGGGCGACCATGCTATCTGTTTTTAATTACGTAAAGTAAAACATACTTAGCAAAGCATCAAATTATTATCATTCAATAATTATTAAATTGCGATGTATGTATATCCTTGCGCGCCTTTTTTTCCAATCATGTGGGCTTTGGTGCGATGCGCCTGCCCAACGCCACTGACATTTTTAAAGGTCCCTAAGCCCCATCTACACTACACGTCTTTATCCAAGAACAGCAAGATTAATGTTTTATTAGTTTCGAATTTACACAATAAATAATAGACACTTTATGGTCCATATTCTTCGGAGTTCATAAAGCCTGGCTTAATGGAAAAGCTCGGCTTTGTCACACAAAAAGCCAAGCGTTTCCACTAAACCAGGCTTTATGAACTACGGAGAATATATGGCCCTGAGCAGGTCCTGAATTTCAAACGTATCCGTATCTGCATCGATCTGCGCATGCGCAGAATAGATACGGTGGTTTCGTTGCGTCCAATTTACAATGGACGTAACGTAACCGTAAAGATGTAACAAAATTCCTAAGCATGCGCATATTAGATTTATTTGCGTCAAATATATCACCGGAAACGCAACGTAAGAGATGCCGCCGTGCTTTGTAAAGTAAATCGAGTCGGAGGTAAATCGATTACGTGTGTAGCAATATTTGTGTAACGACACTAGATTTGTTGTAGCAACAAGTCGTTAGTAGATTTGGGGCAAGATTCAAATCAATTATTCTTGTAGTAACACTTCCTTTGTGTAGCAGCACAAGATCATAACATGTAGCAACACCAAAGAAAAAATGTAGCAACACGTCTTGAGTAAAAGTGTAGTAACACTCGTTTTGTGTAGCAACAAGTCATTTGTGGGTTATTTTTTGCTCAGGGCAAGAGTTTGTTGAATTTCTTATGTAGCAACACGAAAAAAAAATGTAGCAGCACAATCGTTGGGAGTAGTTTTTAGTAGATTTAGAGCAAGATTTCAATGAACCAACATTTGAAAAAAATGTAGCAACACGAGCGAAAGTGTAGCAACAAGTCGTTTTGGTGGTAGTTTCTTCAGTGGGTTTTTAGGGTGAGTTTTAATGTAGCAACACTTATATGAAAATGTATTGAATTCGTTTGTAGCAACATTTGGTAAAAAAATTTAGCTTCCCGTCGGGTTTGGAATTCGAATTTTACATTTTCCTGGTTTTTGATTGGTTTGGGAATTTGAATTTTGATTATTCCCGGCTTTTGATTGGCTTATTTTTGAATTTTCCCGGCTTTTGATTGGTTTAGGAATTCAGTTTTTAATCATTCCCTGGTCTTGAATGGCTCAGAAATTCAAATTTTGAATATTCCCGGCTCTTGATTGGCTTCCAAACTCAATTTTTGAATTTTCTCGGCTCTTGATTGGGTTTGAAATTCAAATTTTAAATATTCCCGGCTCATGATTGGTTTAGAAACTGAATTTTTGATTATTCTCGGCTCTTGATTGGCTTCAAATTTTGAATATTCCCGGCTCTTGATTGGTTTAAATATTCAAATTTCAAATATTCCCGGCTTTTGATTCGCTTCCAAAGTCAATTTTTGAATTTTCCCGGCTCTTGATTAGGTTTAAAATTCAAATTTTGATTATTCCTGTCTCTTGATTGGCTCTGAAATTCAAATTTTGAATATTTCCGGCTATTGATTAACTTCCAAAATCAATTTTTGAATTTTCCTAACTCTTGATTGGCTTAGAAATTCTAATTTTGAATATTCCTGGCTCTTGATTGCTTCTGAAATTCAAATTTTGAATATTCCCGGCTCATGAATGGTTTAAAAATTGAATTTTTGAATATTCTTGGCTTTTGAATGGCTTCAAATTTTGAATATTCCCGATTCTAGATTGGATTAGAAATTCAAATTGTGAATATTCCTGGCTCTTGATTGGCTAATAAATTCAAATTTTAAACCCGATCAAGAGCCGAGAAAAATTAAAATTTGAATTTTAAACCCAATCAAGAGCCGGGAAAATTCAAAAATTGACTTTAGAAGCCAATCAAGAACTGGGAATATTTAAAATCTGAATTTCTAAGCCAATCAAGAGCCGGGAATAATCAAAGTTTGAATTTTAAACTTAATCATGAGCTATATGAAAATTCAAAAATTGGCTTTGGAATCCAATCATGAGCCGGGAATATTCAAAATTTAAATTTTTAAGCCAATCAAGAGCCGGGAATATTCAAAATTTGAAGCCAATCAAAAGCCGAGAATAATCAAAAATTCAATTTTTAAACCAATCATGAGTCGGGAATATTTAAAATTTGAATTTCAGAGCCAATCACAAGAGCCGGGAATAATCAAAATTTGAATTTTTAAGCCAACCAAAAGCCGGGAATAATCAAAAATTCATTTTCTTAACCAATCATGAGCAAGGAATATTAAAAATTTTAATTTCAGAGCCAATCAGGAGTCAAGAATAATCAAAATTTGAATTTTAAACTCAATCAAAAGTGGGGAAAATTCAAAAAATGTTTTTGAAAGCCAATCAAGAGTTGGGAATATCTAAAACTTGAATTTCTAAGCTAATCAAGGGCCGGGAATATTTGAAATTTAAAGCCAATCAAGAGCCAAGAATAATCAAAAATTCAATTTCTAAACCAATCATAAGTTGGGAATATTCAAAATTTGAATTCCAGAGCTAATCAAGGGCCAGGAATAATCAAAATTTGAATTTCAGATTCAATTGAAATAACTAAAATTTGAGTTTTGAATCCAATCAAGAGCCGGAAAAATTCAAAAATTGATTTTGGAAGCCAATCAAGAGCCAAAAATATTTAAAATCTGAATTTCTAAGCCAATCAAGAGGCGGGAATAATCAAATATACAATTTCTAAACTAATCATGAGTCGGGAATATCTAAAATTTGAATTTCAGAGCCAATGAAGAGTCAGGAATAATCAAAATTTGAATTTTAATTAAACCCAATCTAGAGCCGGGAAAATTAAAAAATTGTCTTTGGACATTAATCAAGAGCCGGGAATAATCAAAAATTCAATTTCCAAACCAATCATGAGCCAGGAATATTCAAAATTTGAATTTCAGATTCAATTGAAATAATTAAAATTTGATTTTTGAACCCAATCAAGAGCCGGAAAAATTCAAAAATTGATTTTGGAAGCCAATCAAGAGCCAAAAATATTTAAAATCTGAATTTCTAAGCCAATCAAGAGGCGGGAATAATCAAATATTCAATTTCTAAACCAATCATGAGTCGGGAATATCTAAAATTTAAATTTCAGAGCCAATGAAGAGTCAGGAATAATCAAAATTTGAATTTTAAACCCAATCTAGAGCCGGGAAAATTTGAAATTCGAACCCAATCAAGGAGCCGGGAGTAATCAATAATTGAATTTCAAAATCAATCAAGAGCCGGGAATGATCAAAAATTCGATTTTCAAGCCAATTAAAAGCCAGGAATGATTAAAAATTGAATTTTAAACTCAATCAAGAGTTGGGAAAATTTTAAAAATCTATTTTTAAACCAATCAAGAGCCGGGAAAATTTTAAAATTGAATTCTTAATCCAATCAAAAGCTGGGAAAATTAAAAAAATAAGCCAATCAAGAGCCGGGAATAATCAAAAATTCAATTTCTGAACCAATCATGAGCCGGGAATATTCGAAATTTGAATTTCAGAGCCAATCAAAAGCCAAGAATAATCAAAATTTGAATTATTCTCATCTTCTCTTACGTTGCGTTTTCAGTAATATTTTTGACGCAAATAAACCTTTAGGACTTATGTTACGTCTGTACAGTCACGTTACGTTACATCTAAGGATACGATCGTTTACGTAATGTATGGCCATGCTTAAAAGGACTTTTACGCGGTCAACGTAAGTCGATGCGTTTACGGATGCGGATACGGATACGTAGAAAAATTTTGAATTTGCTTAAAGTGTCTAATGTGTGTTTTTTGTCCGTAAACTTCAAGAAGTTATGGGTTCAGGAGTGAATACACGAGGCCATAGGTACAAAGCAACGAACCAGTGTAATGTTTAGATCATGTTTATGTCAATGTAAGTAGTATGACTAGTATGTAAAAAAAAACTGTATTACTCTAGGTAGGGTAATTCAAATTGTATTTTAGGTTAAAAAAGTTTAGTTTGTGAAATACATTTAAATAGGGCAATCCAACGACTTGTCAAAATGGAATTCAAAATGGAGGCCAATGCCTTTTTTCTACTAATAATTTCTTAAACTAAAAACTTTCCATCTTAGAATACGAAAATTATCCTCTCAAACACTAGAAAATCATCTAAAAGCACCACAAAATACGCAAAAAACAGTTTTTTGATGAAAAATGTCACGATTGCTTGAATTAAATTTATGGCGCCAATTTTTTGGCATTGGCCATGCATTGATCACCATTTTGTTTGGATTGCCCTATTGAGGCGGTGTGTTGAACATAATAATAGATAGAATACAGAAATTCGCTTAGTTTTACCAAACAATGTTATTATTTGGTTTTACTCAAGGTTTTTGAAGTTAATAGGTTGTCTGGTAATGGGAAACAGATGACGTCATCAACAGAATCTAATGAAGATTTGCAATATGTTCAGGCATCCAGATGAAGTCATAAAAGTTATCAGTAGGTCTGTTTTTGCAGAAATCACAAACCAGTCAGAGCTAATTTCATTGGTTGAGAACAGTCAGAAAACCAGTTTCAACCAATGAAAATCACTCTGACTGGTTTGTGATTTCTGCAGAAACAGACCTAGTATCAGGCAACCTAAAGACAGGGAGCCGATTAAACGCGATGGAATATTAATTTTTTTTACAAACAATCTTGGGTTTTACCAGTCATTGTTTGTGTTGTATTGTAGTCAAGCCTTAACGCAATTATTGACGTTCATTTGGCGTTACTTTGACGCTTGTGACGTTTAGCAGGTTCCCTATATCCAAAGCCGACAAAAACGAGTCGAAAATCAGTTTTTCTTTTTTAAAACTTGCATTTTTTCAAAATACAGGTAAATTGTTTATCGTTAATTGACAAATTACCAATCTAACAATCGCTGTCGTTTATTCGAATAGTCGAAACAACAAATAGTTGGGTGTTATGTAGTGCAAAATAAGCATAAGCACAACTATTGTTTCCCTCCAAAGTTGGGTCTTGGTAGGAAAAATGCCTCTTTTACGGAAAAAGGCTTTCAAGAAAAATACGGCCACCGAATTTCTACGGGACAACGAGCGAGTTTTCCACTGTGACATCACAGACGAAATTTTCAGGGATTATCAGTAAGTATTTCGATTTGTTGCAAAAAAGGGTAAGAATTAGAAATTTGCGCTATATTCTGTAACGGTTCATTGTACTTATGCTCCAACCACGCCATGCCTTCACCTTCAAAAAATAATATCCTGTAGGATTAACAGAATTGAATAAGATCTATATTAGGTTAGGTTTTTATTTACATGGATGTAGTAATTTTATTATTATTCGGAATTTGAATCAATTATTGTTATGCAAGGACAATAAGATTGCTTCGTCAGTGTCCTAAATCAGTGACACATGAATCTTTCCTAGGCCCAAGCAAGAATTAACAATCTAGATTATTCTAGAGGCAAATTGCAATCTGAATTCTAACTGTTGGATCACAATTTATGATTCAAGGCTCTAAAAATGAGGGTAGAGCAAGTGGACTGCACTACAAATTTACTCTACTTTTCATTATTCATGCTGGCTTGATTCTATTTTCGGTTATTTGAATATTTGCAGCATTTTACTGGTAAGTTGTAATAGTACTTGTTACTGTTATTATTTGACTGTTAAATAAAGTTGTTAGTTATTATTATTGTTTTATTTACAATAGTTTTTAGATGTTTTATGCTTTATTTGAATCTTTCAACACTTGTAAGTATATCAAGACTAAGACATTAATATTATGTCATTTGTGTATCTTTAATGATATTCATTTATTACTTTTCTACCCATGACAATTCTTGAAGTGTTACTTTATCCGAGGGGCTTTTTACCTGCCAAAATTTGTACACCGATTTTCATTTTTCTTAACATTTCACGGTATTGCCATGTATTTTCGAGTACCTATTTCTAAGTAGTATTTCCAAATATTCCCTAGTATTTCTGAGTACATATTTCTTAGTATTTCTAAGTATTTCCAAATATTCTCTCAATATTTCAAAGTTTTACCTACTAGCTAATTCAATTTAAACAATAGGCTAAATTTCATTTTGTTACCACTACATTGATTTGACAAGGTATACTAAAAATAGAGGAAACCAAACACCTTTAAGGTAGGTACCAACAAAACTTGGAATGGGCTGATAAGGCCAAAAAAAAAAAAAAAACTTATTCTCAATCGCTCCACTATCTTCTCTCAAAGGACATTTAAAATTGTCTAAATTTCTTTTTAAAAATTCCATGTTACAGGATTTTTTAGTCTTTCTCAAAAGTTTGCTTACATACCAATCTTCATCAAAATAGATGGCATAGTATTTAAAGAAAAGTTCTCAGAATCAAAACAGGATCATGAATTAGAGGAGCTATAACTTTTCAATTTAAGGAATTCTTTTGTGAGGAATTTTAACACTTTTACAAGATTTAATCAAAGATCCGCTAGAAACTCTAGAGAAAACTGTTTTTCTGGATTTTGACTTTTTGTGGTTTCTCATCCCTTAAACTCTATAAATGCGGTCAGTAGAAAGTCTGCTATTATTAGCATTAAAAAAATCAACCTAATACAGACTTTCTTACCAATATACTTTGACCATCATTTAAGTCAATGGTAATGCGAGATTCTTTATTATCCTTGTTATTACTGCTTTGTGACCTCTTTTTTGAATAATCCGAGGTTCTCACCAAGGTTCTCACAATCAAATAAAACAAACTGGCACAGTAAAAATTAAAAAAAAAAGAACCTATGTAATTTATGAAAAGAAGCAGCACTCAGGAAGCTCAGAAACAAACTGTTTTCTCACATAATTCGGCACGTATTACCAAGAATTTCAAAGTATTTCTAGGTATTCCTCGAAGTATTCCCAAGTATTACCAAGTATTTCTAGATACTTCCAAGTATTTCTAGCTATTTCCAAGTATTCCCAGGAATTTGTACATCGATTTCCTTGGGTGAAAAGCCCTTCGACTTTATCTGACCCCCTTTTTCAAGAGATAAGTATTTTGCTTGTCTTAAACTCATCATTCACTTTAATATGAAATGTAGGGTCTTTACAAATATTAGTGGGTCTTGAAAAATTCCTGTAAAACGCAACTTCCATCAGCAATAAATCAGAAAAATCCTAACCTTAGAAGCTCTTACAAACCTTGTATAGCAATATTTTTTTTCCAATTTGCTTTTTGTTTCTGAAAGTTGGAAACAGTTAAAAGGTCTTTCTGGCTAGTCCAAACGTGAAAATCAAGCATAAGAGATTATAGCAAATTACCTTGTTCCAAAATCTTTGTGTCTGGAAGTTATAAACTATTGTAAAAGGCTCTACACCTTTTCAATTATTGTAATTCACATGTAATTCCAAAAAACTCACTTGTAATTAAGATTTTTCAAATGTAATTCAGGATATGTGGGGAATTTGTGGGGAATTTGAAGGAACTCATTGGAATTTATGAGAATTTGGGAAATTTATATGGAATTAGGAAGAATTAATGGGGAATTTGGGAGAATTTTTGAGGAATTTGAAGGAAATTGTAGAGTCATGATGTCACTGAGGTTCACATTCTTATTATAAGAAATAGTAATAAATGGAAATTTAAAAAAAAATCTAGTTTTGTATTGGGTGTTGAATATCCATTTTTATTAAAGAAATCCTCCCAAAATTACATTACATAATTTACAAGTCCAAATTTATAAAAGGCTGATTTTTGAAATTCGAAATTTGAAATTTTGGCAAAATGAGCTTCTCACCTTCCTCTTTACATGCAAAAAGTTTTAAATTTCTCCCTTCACTAGTTTTCCAGGAAAACTTTGAATTTTGTGAGACTGTATTTTCAACTAATTCAGTTTTTGTAGGTTGATTTCCAAGATTTTTCATGTTGTTATTTTCTACTAGAAAAATTTGAAACTTTGGGAAAATAAGCATCTCACCTTCCTCTTTACATGCAAAAAGTTTCAAAATTTTCCTTTCACTAGTTTTTTAGGAAAACTTTGGAATGTGTGAGACTGTATTTTCAATTATTTCAGTTATTGTAGGTTGATTTTGAAGATTTTTCATGTTGCTGTTTTCCACTGGAAAAGTTTGAAATTTTGGGAAAATGCTCGGGAAAATGAGCTTCTTACATTACATAATTTACAAGTCCAAATTTAAAAAAGGCTGATTTTTGAAATTCGAAATTTGAAATTTTGGCAAAATGAGCTTCTCACCTGCCTCTTTACATGCAAAAAGCTTCAAAATTTTCCCTCTACTAGTTTTCCATGAAAACTTTGAAATGTGTGAGACTGTATTTTCAACTAATTCAGTTTTTGTAGGTTGACTTCCTAGATTTTTTATGTTGGTAATTTGAAACTTTGGGAAAATGAGCTTCTCACCTTCCTCTTTATATGCAAAAAGTTTCAAAATTTTCCCTTCACTAGTTTTCCAGGAAAACTTTGAAATGTGTGAGACTGTATTTTCAATTAATTCAGTTATTGTAGGTTGATTTTGAAGATTTTTCATGTTGCTGTTTTCCACTGGAAAAGTTTGAACTTTTGGGAAAATGCTCGGGAAAATGAGCTTCTTACATTACATAATTTACAAGTCCAAATTTAAAAAAGGCTGATTTTTGAAATTCGAAATTTGAAATTTTGGCAAAATGAGCTTCTCACCATCCTCTTTACATGCAAAAAGTTTCAAATTTTTCCCTTCACTAATTTTCCAGGAAAACTTTGAATTTTGTGAGACTGTATTTTCAACTAATTCAGTTTTTGTAGGTTGATTTCCAAGATTTTTCATGTTGTTATTTTCTACTAGAAAAATTTGAAACTTTGGGAAAATAAGCATCTCACCTTCCTCTTTACATGCAAAAAGTTTCAAAATTTTCCTTTCACTAGTTTTTTAGGAAAACTTTGGAATGTGTGAGACTGTATTTTCAATTATTTCAGTTATTGTAGGTTGATTTTCAATATTCCTTATGTTGTTATTTTCCACTGGAAAATTTTGAAATTTTGTAAAAATGAGCTTCTCACCTTCCTATTTACATGCAAAAAGTTTCAAAATTTTCCCTTCACTAGTTTTCCAGGAAAACTTTGAAATGTGTGAGACTGTATTTTCAATTAATTCAGTTATTGTAGGTTGATTTTGAAGATTTTTCATGTTGCTGTTTTCCACTGGAAAAGTTTGAAATTTTGGGAAAATGCTCGGGAAAATGAGCTTCTTACATTACATAATTTACAAGTCCAAATTTAAAAAAGGCTGATTTTTGAAATTCGAAATTTGAAATTTTGGCAAAATGAGCTTCTCACCTGCCTCTTTACATGCAAAAAGTTTCAAAATTTTCCCTCTACTAGTTTTCCATGAAAACTTTGAAATGTGTGAGACTGTATTTTCAACTAATTCAGTTTTTGTAGGTTGACTTCCAAGATTTTTTATGTTGGTAATTTAAAACTTTGGGAAAATGAGCTTCTCACATTCCTCTTTATATGCAAAAAGTTTCAAAATTTTCCCTTCACTAGTTTTCCAGGAAAACTTTGAAATGTGTGAGACTGTATTTTCAATTAATTCAGTTATTTTAGGTTGATTTTGAAGATTTTTCATGTTGCTGTTTTCCACTGGAAAAGTTTGAAATTTTGGGAAAATGCTCGGGAAAATGAGCTTCTTACATTACATAATTTACAAGTCCAAATTTAAAAAAGGCTGATTTTTGAAATTCGAAATTTGAAATTTCGGCAAAATGAGCTTCTCACCATCCTCTTTACATGCAAAAAGTTTCAAATTTTTCCCTTCACTAATTTTCCAGGAAAACTTTGAATTTTGTGAGACTGTATTTTCAACTAATTCAGTTTTTGTAGGTTGATTTCCAAGATTTTTCATGTTGTTATTTTCTACTAGAAAAATTTGAAACTTTGGGAAAATAAGCATCTCACCTTCCTCTTTACATGCAAAAAGTTTCAAAATTTTCCTTTCACTAGTTTTTCAGGAAAACTTTGGAATGTGTGAGACTGTATTTTCAATTATTTCAGTTATTGTAGGTTGATTTTCAATATTCCTTATGTTGTTATTTTCCACTGGAAAATTTTGAAATTTTGTAAAAATGAGCTTCTCACCTTCCTATTTACATGCAAAAAGTTTCAAAA